TCAGCCCCAGATCAACCATTAACAAGAGCTAGAGATAGAGGGTACGTGTGGTGACCTATGAATGAATCCGTGAACCAGACCAAGAAATGCACGTGAATTCACTACATTCATTCATTCATTAAATTAAAACCTGCCGACGCAATACGAGCGCCCTCCTGTGTTAAAACTAGTAAAAGTCGAGAAATACTCTGATTCCCTTCACCCCCCCACTGACTGGTATCTGGGGTATCGCTTTCACAGCAAATTTGAAGATGTCCCGCCCAAGGCGCGAAATTTAACCAGTCGCATATTTTGCCATTTTCCAATCTCTGCCGGTAGATTTGCGCTGCATACACACAAGCATACAAAAGCGTTGTCGTTGGTCGGGGACTGGGGGCTTCTGTGGTGCACTCCAGGCCCCTGCGGTTGCAACCCTTTCTTTCCCGCGCGAACCTTTTTTTGCTCTCTCGGCAGCCTTCAGACAGTCATGTCGGCTTTCAGCCAACAATGGTCGGAGCAGGCTGGGGCATGCGCGCACGTGTGATCCTACAAGGTGCCACTTTTACTCGCTCTACCTTCAACCAGAGCTGCGCGCGCATTCCAAGCCATTGGCTGGGATGTACCCTCTGCATGAAGCTACTGATCGAGGCTTGGTTTGCCACCAGGACCTCGCAGCGGTCACCACTCCAAAGCCACTCGCCAACTTGCAGGCACTACTGCGTTGCTCCAAAACAAGATGCCTGCCCGCACGTCGAATAACATCGGCGAGAGTCAAAAGCCGAAGAGCGTCTGAAAGCATCTGAACGCATCTTCGGGACTATACTCCGGAAATGCAGCTACGTTGTGTAGTCAGCATTCCGCAAGGCAAGATGCTCTTTTTCTTCGCAGAATCCAACTCTTCATTTCGAATGCAATGTCTTGCCTTGTTGAAAATGAATGCCAGAGTCTTTACAGGAAGGCACATGCAGGAATCCAATCGCAATGGCAGTGTCGAAGTCTTGAGGAGCTGTCCCTCGCCATTGGTACCCTAAACCCTGAACTCTTGTGCGACTTGTATTGCAACTTCGCCACTTGGCCCCTGGAATGGTGGAAAAGGCTCTCTCAACAAAGCAGCCCACAAAGGGCTTTTGCGCATCCGAACAAGTCGGAACTCCGGCTAAAGTAAGCCGAGTAAACGCGTGACAATACAGCACGCGCTCAGCATATTATCGACAACACAGGTTTCTCACCAAGCTGAGCCGAACCGTCGCCAGAATTTTGCAGACGGTGGCTGCTTGGCTTGATGAGTGATGACCATGTCTTTGACGGACTCTGAGCTCTTCTCATCTTCTGTCCAAGTCATTACATTACAATTTAAAGATGTCAGCTCATGCCTGCAACAATGCGTCCGTATCCTCGGCTGCAGAAGCCAATGCATCTCACGCAAGTTAAAGAACAGTACTGTCGCATGCTTGCGTCAAGACATGCAGATGTACTGGCTCGCGACTTGCACCAATTTGACAAGTAGACCTAGTGAAGAAACATGGCATACAACCCTGTAGTTGGCAAGGCAAGACGCTAGAACGCAGCAACCGGGTTTGATTTGTCCCGAGGATACGAAGGGCTGCAATCCTGGCGCGATGTCTTTGAAGGAATCTGATGCAGTCCTCAACCTTCCCGTGAGAAAGCACTCTGCCTTTCAGCTTGCGACCAACCAACCATGCAAACACACGCTGTTGTAATCATGCTGGATGCTAAGATGCTTCTTCTCTTCTTCTGCTGGGCATGGGGGGGGGGTCCCCCGCGTAGCAGGTGCGCCCGGAGATGCTAAGGATTCTCTCTTTCTCTCTCTCTGCCGTGCCATCCCTGAGATGCGAGTAAGGTAATTATGGTAATTCCTGGACCAGAGAAACTCGAACCCTTTGCCCATGCGACTGCAAGGCTTGTCTGACCCTCATGATCCTAGTCAAGACTCAAGTCGGTTTTCATGAATCTGCAGTGCGTCCTGTCTGGATCGTCGAGGACCTCCACAACCTCTCGGGCAGCAGCGTGCCCGTGACGGCTGCATGCAAGGCGGACCAAAACTGTAGGCTCCTCCGAAAGCATTTCAAGTGTGGTCAATTGCATTTGATGGCAGTCTCATGCTCACGCGCCCTGGTAGCCAAACAAACACAGGGCTGAGTTGTTTGCATGGAGCCGCCAGGCTTCGCAGTCCTTGAGGATGGCTCTAGCTAAAGAGTGCCGACTTGAGCGTTCAGCAGATGTCATGGCACAGCTTACGACAGCCGCGCCGTACTGATCTGAGCCTTAGGTTTCAGTGAAGGCTTGACAGCATCACACAGTTTGTTCGCATGGCTAATTACGGTACGGCAGTTTGCCCAAGTGATTGTCCAGCATGTCATGATATTTCTTTCTGCACATGTCAACTTGCTTGTCCAGCTGCTCAGTGCATTGAGGTGCTCCTGCAAAATTCAACACGTGCAGTCATACGCGGATTGCTTTCCCATGCCAATGCGAGCCCTGCATGGAACCAGTGTCCTCCAATCTCTGACACACCTCTGCCTGCAATGGACTATGCTGCAGGATGTGCTGCATCACCTTAGATGTGCAACTAGCAATTTGCACATCTAGAAACCCAGTACAATGAGCTTGTCGGCGGCTTCCTAAAGTTTGCTAGAAAGGCTGTCATCACCAGGACACATAGTTCCCGTACGCGTGGCAAGCCACCAGGGGCAACTCTGCAAGGATTGCACACCTCTGAATGCTCACAAAGCCAAGGTTGCGAAAATTTCTGGCTCCACACGCGCAGCTTCTGGAACTGCAGCACTAGCGTTTCCGAGCACTTGCATTTGCATTCTGTCCCCGAAAGGTGAGGCTATGCATAAGAAGAGAACGACCTGACTACAGGTCATGATCTGGTGGGCAACGCATGATGGTAGAATGTCTGGTTAATCTCGTCAGGGCACAGGAGTCCTTCAACTTGCTCACCGGAGCAATGCTCAATTAGACGCTGCACAATCCGGCAGCCGTACCTCAGAACCGCGTTGAAGGTGCACCACACGTGAAAAACACAAACAACATGTGCATGTGTGCATTACCCTGTTGCGTCAGCCAAAGCTATGGCGAAAGCCATAAAAATACCAGATAAAACCCCTGCATGGCCGACGCCATGGCATAGTGCGGGCTGTCGCCGCCGACTTGCCAAGCCGCTTGTGCCTGGCTGCCTGGACCGCAAACCTGTCCTTCATGAGCACATCGATGACAAACTGGAGATCTTCCGGGCTCAAAGCCTTTGTGACAAAAGGCTTTGAAACATTGGCGATGGGAGATTGTCTTTGGCATGGTAGGATCACTCGAAAGTTTAGCAGGAAACGAGGCAAGATTTCAGGAGCGGCTGGGACGGCACAGCACAGCCAAAGCCAGCTTGCACTTCTCTGCGTTCTCGCTTCTGCGTGCGCAACGCACGCACAGGAACCCGCTCCCAAAGTGCAATCTCTTTGCCTTCTGACAGATGTTGCACGGTGTGCGGAAATTGTGACTGAGAGTCGCTAAACCCTAAACCCTAAACCCTGACAACCCGGTGGCAGCCCAGGCGCTGCAATACACTTCTGCAGCACATGGTTGGCGTGGGGGCAGCACGTGGCATCCCAAACCTGGGTAGAAGGATCATGAGGATGTTCCACCAAGATGTCTAGCTGTTGCAGGCCAGAGGCATCGGCTAATTACTCTTCTTCAACAGCCAGCATAGCTTTAAGCCCGACATCCTTGTTTTGAACCCGAAACCCTAAACTCTAAGCCTAACCCGGGGACATCCAGAAACAGCAAACCAAGGGACGTGGTCACGCAACTCAGTGGCGATTTGTGCCACTGTCTTCTCATCTGCAGTCTCTATGGCATATTGAACTTCTCTGCAGCCAATAGGGTCTTGGGAGTACTCCCACACCTTGCCCACAACACGTAGGCCCAAAGGAGTGTATTCGGATTTTGGTGCCTTGCATTCTTGGCTTGATTTTGACTTTGCGTCGTTGGGCACAGCTTGTTCGAAAACCTTCGCAGTCACCCCCTTTGGCCGCAGATGATCTGGTAAGAAACTGGACCACGGCGTTGCAGCCCCTTGCTCCAGACGACCAAGAAGAACTTTCATAGGGAAAGTCTGACGCCCAGAAGGCATCTTCGGTCTGGCCATGATTGAGCTGCGGATACAGGTTCGCCCTGTGAAAAACAGCTGCGAAGTTGCAATCTCGTCGAGAACTCAATGTTCAACGGCAGTCAACGGTCCCGAGATGCATCGCGCGCGCGCCCGGGTTTTGAGGGGAGAGCACGTGTTGAGTGGCCGAGGGCTCTTTGCACTCGGTAAACGGTCTTCATTATCTTCTGGGGTTGGATAGAGTTCCTTTGGGAAGTGCTTTAAGCAAGCGACCCACAACTCTGACCCCAAGCAAATGCCGAGCTTCATCATGAAGTCAATAACAGCTACGTTGGGAGCGACGTTCCGAGATCCCAAACGCTGTACCTAGCGCGGCACTTGCATGTCAGGGCCGTCACTCTCCACCAAGGAGACAGGCCACCTCACTCAGTACCGAATCGCAGCTTCATGCGGTTTGCTGCGACAGCGGGTCTCATGCGGGGGGGCCAAAAAGAAGTATGGCCGAAGAGAAACAAGGCGGGCAAGGAAGGCAGGACACAACTTACCTCCACTGCCGAGGACTGAGGACCTTGCGTTCGAGCGCCCGAAGATTGGATGTTGCCGCTCCGTCAGCGGCATCTGAGCGTGTCCTTTGAGCCTGCTTAGCAGCATGCGAGAACGAAGTAGGAACGGCCAACTTCTACTGCCCACCCCGACCATCTGCCACCTCCGCTGACCACCCTCCAAAACGCTGGAGTGCTTGTCCCGCGCCCAGGTAGGGACCCTGCAACATGCATGCAACATGCAGCCAACATGCTCTGCGCGTGGAGGAACAATGTCTTGGAGAATCTTGGAGAGCTCAGGAGCCGTCCCGTGAATCGTTGGCTTGCCAAAAGCGTCGGCCTGACGGGTGCACAGCCAGGTCTCACTGCTTGATTCGCACCATGTGTATCGACTCAGCATGGTCTGGGAAATCCAAAGCCCTTTGCCTCAACACGTTGCCGCGGTGGCGGCGTGAGTGCCCGGGTAGGTCGAGGTTGGTCCCACTCCTGAGTTCCAGCGATGGCACAGCTGCCCAAGATGGCCATGCCCTGCAAACTGAAACAAGGCTGTTGTTCGGAATGCCCAATTGGCAAGACCTGGTAAGGCCAGCAGGCCCAGGGGGTCTGGATTTAAGTCCTCCACTCCACCCCCATGGCTACTTCTCTGCTTACCACATCTGTTTCGGCCTGTTGCCTAAGCGGCCCCGCGTAAGCGGTTAAACCAGCTGCCTCAGCTGCCTCTCTTCGTCAAAGTGCAATGCGTGATGATGCATGCAAGTCTCGGCAAGTGCTGTGGGCTTCCCAGCGGAGCCTTCAAACCTTGCGGACACATCATGCAAATCAAACTGGGCAAAAGCGCCGCAACCCAGTTGAACCAGAAGAAAGCCTAGCGAAGCCAGCAAGCACAGAAGGCAAGAGCAGGTTCCTTTTGAAGCTATTGCCTGCGCTTGCCTCTTTCCTTTGCTCCAACTGCCTCTGAATATGAACGTCAGCTGTGCAATGCCAAGCTTCCGACAAACTAGCTCCAGATCGACTGTGACCCCTTGGCGTGGCAAAGCCTGTCGAAAGCTGCTATGCACAAGCACAGGTGGGAAAGACAGAGCGAGAGAGAGCTAATTAATTAGCTACCTTGTGTGCATAGTGAACAAACTTTCAGCTCACACCGACCGGGGCAAAAGCCAGACCCTGAAGAAGGCGGTGGGGTGGCTGTGCGCCGGTGCCCATCACAGAAGATGTCAGCTTGCTGTGACCTGCATTACAAGCGAAATGCGCAGTAGAGCAAGAACAGAGCTTTAGTTGTCTTTGTGAGCGGGCTGAGCTTGCAATTCGACACAGATGCAGACTTCTCTCCAGCTCTTCCGGGGTCGCTGCATGAACGGCATCTCCAGTGCTCCCAAGTGCTTCCGCCTTGCAGCCACTTCATGAGAAGCCCGATTTCAAATAGTCTTGTCTTCCAACATCCTAGGCAAGCGACCCAGGGTATTCGCGCAGCAGGTTCGCCTTAATGGCACTCTGCACAGAGGCTCGACATGGCATAAGACCTCTACGAGATGCCTGACGCGCCTAACGCCTAGCGGCCTAGCACTGTGACATCATTCTGTTGCCACTAAGGTCATGTTCAAGAAAGGATTTAGGTACCAGGAACACGAGCGTGGACGCTCATCAAAGGCACCTTGCGCTCTGCCCATAGTGGCTCTGATTGCCGTGGGGTCATTTGGCCATAGACGACCTGGCACAAGAGATCGAAAGAGCAAGGCGAGAGCACACGGCGCAGAACTCCTGAGCCCGGATGTGCGAAGAAAACGTTGCACAAAGCTCTGTGCTCGTGGCTTTCTGCCTTGTCAGTGGTGCATTTCATGGCGCAATGCGGTTCATGGAAACCTGCAGAGCAGCCAGCAGCCGAACGGACTGCCCTGGCTCAAATGCACATGCGAATCCATGCCTGAAGCTGTTCTCACGAGCCTCAGACGGCTCACAGAGCAAAGCACTCGAAGTTGCGTCGCGAGGCAGGAGCAAGTGCTTGCAAGTTGCTTCAGCGAAGGTTGACGGCAAAACAAGAGGACCACGTGCTAGTGCTAGCTGAAAGCTGGTAGATGTAGCAGTGAGCTTGCCAGCTCATGTGAACATTTGTGGGCTGCAAGAGGCCTTCGAATGCATTTGCCTCATCAGATTGCTTCTGCGCAAGGCTTGCGGAATTTCTAAACAAACGCAGCTAGCTACCCGGGCTTGGACGAACCTCGACCCAGATCGAGGGCACATGGAAACTGCACGAGCTCCTGATTAGTGGAAATCACCTTAATTCAAGTTTCTGGTCACAATTAGGCCCTTGTACCCAAAGGCTCTACGAGTCAGGGTGAGCGGAAGAACCCATGTAAGTCATGGCCTGTAAAGGTTCATGCGGGTCATTCGCATGTCAATGTTGGAGGCTTTGCACGTGAAAGTTACGTTCCGCTCCGGTCTGAAACATGGGCGTTGTCTTAAACTCAACTCTGAGAGACCTCTCAACCCTTAGCCGTAGCCTTAGCGTAGAGCTCAACCACCCCCGGCGAAGCACCCAGGCGCTCTCATCCCGTGGGGCCCTTGCCGATCGCGGGCTTCGGGATGCCACCCCGCTTGCAGAGTGCAAAGGTTTGCACTTGGACCTTCAGAGAGAGAGAGATCGACTTTTTAACTTAGTTTTTTCATGGAGAGGTGACACATGTTGACAAGGTCATTGCTCTCTGGGCCCCAGGCAACCAGCTGAGCCAGAAGTATCCTTGCATTGCACGCCGACCCTGGCAGGAATATTGAATCAAGCTAAGCACTTTTGACATCCTCTTCATGTGACGACATCGGCCTTTTCCCTTTGTGAGCATGGAGCTCGGCAGACTTCTGGCCTCTTCAAAGAACACAACATTCCGGTCTCTGTGGCTCTTGAGGCTGTGATACGCGAGCACGAAGCGAGGATCGACCCCCAAGTTAAACATGAACCTTCACTGTGCGTTCGGGAATCAAGGTTGCCGAATATATCGTCCCGGTTTGCAGTTCGCCACCCCAATCTGGCTAGCACTTGGCAGTGAAAGCCTAAACCCTACACCCTTTACCCGTCGAGCTCAGTCCCTCACTGTATGCATGAGGGAAACATCTTTCACCCCTTCTCTATTGCGGCCTGTGCAGACTGCCGGGAAACCCCAATCCTCCAGCCGCAGCGAACCCACAGAACCCTTTTTGCATACCACACCACACCACAGGGGGTGAAGGGGTAGCGGCTCTGTCGGCAACTAGTCGCTAGAGCCGTGTTGTTGGGGCTGTCCCTGCAGGTGCCATACAAGATGTAACACGACAAAATCCAGCCGAAAGACCTTTGGCAAAGACCCTAACCCTCCTTTGTGAGATAATGGCAACCCTACTGCTGCAAGTAAGGGAGAACGCACGCCCCAAGAACAGTTGCACACCAAGGTCGGTGCCCGCCGTATCAGCAAAGCAGACCTTCCTCGGCCCCCGAGTCTGCCATCTTCAACTGACTGGCACGCCGTGGCACTGCTTGATGAAGCGTCTGAGATCGCAGCACGTCAACACGTCGCTTGCCTCGGCGTCAGGAGCTATCACCACTGCGCACTTCTGAACACTTGTCTCCACACATTGTCTGGCAGTTGGCGCATTCCGGTAATTTTGAACTACGTAGTCATGTCAAGGCCAAGCGCGGGAGTCCGCCACGGAGCTCGTCTCGGGCAGCGCTGCACCTGCAACACAAATGGACGCGTAGTCAAGGCACTTCATTTAGGTTCACTTGCAACTTCTTTGCAGTTGCAGCTTCCCATCGGTTTCTATGTCGAGCGATTCTTTCCTTGCACCAATACTCATGCTCCGTTGCTTCACAGGGTTTGATCATCTGCGTTTTGGCAAGCGAAACCGTGACATGGGACATCATGGGCGAGGAGCAGACCGGACGAGGAGAAGAGTTCAGTCCAAAAGCTCACAGCACACCAAGGGCGGGGAACAACGGCACATAGTGAGCGAAGATGCGCCAACAAGCAAAACAACCGCACATAGTAAGCGAAGACGCACCAGTAGGCAAAACAACGGCATTAGACCGTATAGCCAGCGAAGACGCACTAGGCAATACAACCGCACAAAGGAAGCAAAGACGCACTAGTAAGGCAAGCAAATGCACAGAGATCATATAGTAAACGAAGACGCGCCAATGGATATAGTGTGCGAAGACGCACCAATGTTGGGCAAAGCAACCGCGCATAGTCAGCCAAGACGCACCACAGGCAGAACAACAGCATTTAGAAAATATAGGAAATGAAGACGCGCAAATAAGCAAAACAACTGCACATAGAAATGCACCAATAGGCAAAAAAAACTGCATACAGATCATATAGTAAGCGAAGGCGCGCCAATAGGCAAAAGAACCGCACGTAGCAAGCAAAGACGCACCAATAAGCAAAACAATTACAGACAGATCATACCGTAAGCGATGAGGCACCAATAGGCAAAACAACTGCACATAGGAAGAGACGCACAAATAAGCAAAACAACTGCACATAGATCATATAGTAAGCGAAGACGCACCACGAAGCAAAACACTTGCATATAGACCATATAGATCATATAGTACTTGAAGACGCGCCAATAGGCACAGCAACAACACATAGTAAGCGAACACGCGCCAATACGCAAAACAAATGCATAAAGCGAAGACACACCAACAGGCAAAACAACCGCACATAGTAAGCGAAGACGCACCAATATGCAAAGCAACTGCATATCGAACATATAGTAAGCGAAGACGCACCAAAAAAGCTAAACAACTAGCCAAAACAGCTGCAAAGAGTAGGCGAAGACGAACCAATAAGCAACACAACTGCATGTTTGGATCATATAGTGCGCGAAGACGCACCAATATAGGTAAAACAACCGCGCATAGCAAGCCAAGACGCACCAACTGTGTACATAGATCATATAGTATGCGAAGACACACCAGTAGGCAAAACAACCGCACCTGGTGAGCGAAGACGCACCAATAAGCAAAACATCTGCATATATAATCCCTTCCCCTAACAATGATCCTCCCCCTAGTGCTAAAAACCTCTTTGCCCGAAAACCCGATTCCGCCGCCCCCAAATAGAAGCCTCTGCCGAATAAGGGGGGTTTGCCCAGCTCGCGCATCCGGCGTGGTGGCATCCCCTCCACACACCACAAAGAAGCAAGACAAACATCTAAACTCTATAAACCCTAAACCCCCAACCTCTAAACCATAAACCCTAGACCCTTTTTGACCCGCGAGCACCTTAAACCCTAAACCCTAAACAATAAACCCTAAACCCTAAACCCTAAACCCTGAACCCTGAACCCTGAACCCTGAACCCTGAACCGTGAACCGTGAACCGTGAACCCTGAACCCTGAACCCAACCCTTCCAATCACCTCGACGAGCTTGGGAGGTGGCTCCAAGATAACGGAAGCCTGAAGCAGAAACCTGAACCCTGAACTCTTTAGTTGCCCCTAATCCCTGACTCTGAGAGCCCGAAACCCTGTAAAGCTTTGCGTTTAGGGTTCCCCCGCCTCCCTGCCCTCGCACGCTTGAAAGCACCAGCACTGCTATAACTGAGCCAGCAAGCTCGAAGGACGGGCTGTTTGTTCAGACAAACGATAAGAACCTAAAACTTTTTGGAGATTTGGGTTGTTTTTTTTTATACCAGGGGCGGCCTTTAATATGAGGGTCAGGGGATTAGACCGAATAGTAAGCGAACACGCACCAACAGGCAAGACAACCGCATATAGTAAGCGAAGAGACACCAATGAGCAAAACAACTGCACTAGTAAGCGAAGACGCACCAAGAGCAAAACAACCGCATACAGATCTAATAATTCGCGAAGACACACCAATAGGCAAGACAAACGAACATAGCACTGTTACTGCAGCGAGCAGAGCTCTCCTGCCTGTCTGACCGAAGACCACGGCACCAACCAGATCGACGCCGGTTCCTTGAAGGAGACAGCTTGGTATGGGAAACGGGCAGTCTACAAGCAGGTGTGAGCCTCAGGTCCACTTTCGCACCACCCTAGACATCCCTTCTCGGATCCCTGCTGCTGCCTTCCTGCCAACGGTGGTTCCAAAAATTCAGAAAGTCATGGTAGAAGTGACCAGGGATGTGCTGGCATGACTTGAAGGGCTGGCCGAGGCCAGCACAAGCAGGATCGTTGCTGTACTCAGCTAGGTCCCTCTTCACATGCCCCGGGAGTGCTTCAGTTGGCAAGTGTGCGTGCGAGTGCAAGCTAGCAAGCGTGCGGCGGAGTGCGTGGGCACATGCAAGATCGCGAGAAAGATGGACGTTGTATCTCGACAATCCCACCCTACGGCCCCTTCCAGATGGTGCTCCTTAAACGAGGTCGGGATTCTTATGAGTTGGGCTGTCTAGGTCCGCGAAGGTGAAATGGACTCGCAGCAAGAGCTATGAACGCTGTCGCTTGAAGAGTGAAAACATGGCTCCGGAAAAACGGCGCCCTCTGTCACGAAAGATGTGCCGCACAAAAACATGAAAGGCAGTGGAGCATGCAAGAAAGAGTGCAGAATGTATGATAACGGTTCAGCCAACAATGACAGCAGGAATGCTAGAATCTGCTACAACTGGCGACCAGCACTGACATCGGAGACAGCCTTCGAAGCTTTAGCAATGCGGAGAAACCACTGCTCGGTGATGCCTGCTTCGAAGCTTTTGGCGACTTCCAAGAAGGTGCCCCAGCCTCTGCAGCCAGCATTGAGCCTTTCGCACTGCAGGCGCCCCTCACACTGAGGTGCAAACGGAGTCTTTGCCAAAGAACGCCTCACGAGCAGCCTCCGATTCAGGGGTGCACTGGACAGCAATAGACAGCATCTGCAAGGTGCAGGGATGCACGTCGCAAAGCAAAGGCGGCTCTCTATAAGATCACAGGTGCGACTCCTCTTGGCATGAATACTATTTGTATCATTCTTCATATAATATTAGTACTATTGGTATATACTATGACTACGATTATTGCTACTGTTACCCATTTTTTCTGTTTTTATTTGCAAAACTTGAATATATGAATATTTGGCGGGCTTCCACTGCGATCTCCAACTTCGGCCACTGCTGAGGTTTTCAGGGACTACAGCTGTCTCCCCAGTCCTTGCCTGGACATGCTGCTCCTCAGCGTGGAAAGCGGAATTCTGCCCAAACACCTGCAACTTCGGGTGCGTGGCAGTGTCATGGCAGCTGCACGCACCCAAGTTTTGTCCGACAGTGACGAGTCCCGAAGCCTTGGCCACGCCGGGACTCCGGTTTGGGGAGAGGGGGCCTGGCCAAACACACACTACTGTCGGAGATATGACAGATTATTACTGTGCCACCCCGATTGTTTTCGTGCCCAAGTCAGCCAGCTCGACGGCAGTCACTTGGTGACCGAACCTTCGCCGCAGCCTCCTGCGTTCGTCGAGTTTCCGAGGGACCCGCATGGATACGACTGTGCGCCTCGCAACTGGACCCGACGGGACTGCCATTGTTCCATGCCCCTCTCGGCGCCGCATCGACCTTTTTGACGCCGCCTTCGGAAGAACGATAATGCAGGCGGCGGCTTTCTGGATCAGGCAGTTCATGTATGGAGTGCCGACGATGCAGGGTGTAACATTCTGAAGAAACATAAGGGCTCGTGCACATTTGTCAACGTACAATTCTGCATCCCATGCACGCACACAGCGGCATTCAAAACAGATATTTCAACCGAGGAGTGCAAGAAACATATTTGCAAGGCTCCAATCGAACTCGTCCGAGCTTTCACCGCCTGCTCTTGGCACGGACTGTGAGGAGAGGCCGGCACGGCCGTCGTACTCCTGAGTGCCAGGCTTGCAAGTTACATGTGCCCGAAAAGCAAAGACCTCAACGAAAGTGGATGCTGAGACGCGCTCAGCCAGATCTGTGCCATCGCCTTCACCGCTGAAATCCATATCGCGGCCGAAGATCACCTGAAGCTCGGGCAACATGGCTCCGCGGCGCCTCATGCATCACCTGACATGACCTGGGTTCAGGAAATGAGGCTTTCACAGGGGGCCTAAGACGGATCCCTTGCCTGCCCCCCCGCCCCCCCTCCGGCCACCCACTTATCTCGAAAGATCTGCGCCAGCCCCGTTGCGGTTGAAGCTTTAGTAAAGTTTAGGGTCTATTCAAGCCTCAGCTCGAATATGTTGAATGAGATGCAAGATGACAAAGGTGGATTGGGACCTGGTCGACAGAAGAAGCTTGGGCTCCGATGCCCGCATACCTGCCCGGGCACTGGGACATGAACATGCACAACAATGCATGACCGATACGGACGGGTCATGAGCGGGGACCTGGAAACTCTTCAGATGCAGCTTGATGCAACCCACATGTGCACAGAGGAAACACGGGGCAACATGCTCTCTGGGTTTGTATAGGGCCTATATTGCCATATTGCAACAAAACATCTCCAAGAATGCAAGAAGCCCATGGAGCCTCTTTACTCCCCGGGGCTTCTTGCCCTTTTCACGGGCTGCTTCGAGGGCCGGATGAACTGCCAGTGTCGCCTGAGACGCATCATCAAGAGAGCATTGCTGCTGGCTTGCCGAAGGCCAAGCCAAACTGGACTGAGTACTCATGCAGAACTAGAGAAACATGCCCACAATTGCGTTCGACGTTGGCTTTGAACTTGCATGGAACGACGCATTGTTAAACCGAGCACCTGGCCTTCTCGCCGCGTTCCTGCAACAATGAAAACACATGGTCACATGGTGCTTGGATTTTCCCGTCGCGTGCAAACTCGGCAGCGTATCCTCGGCAGCGGGGTTGAGCGGCATCGTGCTGCGTATGCGGGTGTCGTGTTCCTGGGCTTCCAGTACAGGGACAAGTCAAAGGAGATCAAAGAAGCAAGCAAGCCGCAGGGATTCCAGCCCCTGCTTGCGCATCACCACCAAGGACCCGGACCACCCAGCCAGCAACTGTCTCATTTTCTTTGCTCCTGGCAGAGACAAAGCGTGACTACCCCATGAGCACAGGGTACTCAACACACAGCGCGTGCCATGTTAAACCAGGCTGGCCGAACGCGCCAAACGTCGATGGTCCCTGTGGCCGCTTGGGTGTAAGGCTTCTGGAGCCTTGCAAATGCTCCAGCATGTTCCCGAAAGATACAGACACCCGTACACTCACCAGCAACGGCCTTTGTTGATGACCTTCGGCGTCGAGAGCTGATCTGGCCCAGGCCTGCGACATCAGCTATGGGGAGATGCAGCCAAAAAAAGCACACGATGAACATGCCTGTCAACGGGCTAAGAAGCCAGCTTTACGGCTTGAGAGGCGTCCTTGCCCCAAGTGACCACTTCAACTGCACTGCCGTCCTTGTGACTGCACATCGTCTAACCGACATGCCAATGTCTGGCTTGGCATTTCCAGTTGCAGACAATAAATGTGAGGTCCGTGCCGGTGGTCGGCTCTTTGGGGGCGTCCTGGCCGTAAACAGCAGCACCGACAAGCCATTCCACAAGTACTTGCAATTGTTTCTGTTGTCGTTGCTGATGTGTGCAATTTCAAAAGACTTCAGCAAGCGAGCGTGCCATCGGCCATGATGTTCAGAGCTAGAGATCCCATGACATCATGTGCGTCACAGCCATACTCCTAGTAACTCTTAACCACATGTTTGTTCGGGTTTTGTTTTTGTCCTTCGCCTTGGTCTCATCAGCAAACTCTCAAGGAGCGACTAGTGTTCCGCTATAAGCCCCAAACAAAGCCATGGAGGCATAAGCCGGGCGGGAGCAGCCACCGCGGAAGCCCGCTCAAAAGAAACTCTTGCAACTACTTGTGTGTGGAGTTGGATGATAGGCTGGAACACATTCCCGCTGCACATCCTTATGGGAAGACCATGGAAGACCAACAGTTGCCCAAATATTGATGTCACAATGTAGACACAACTTCTGCCACCGCACGCTTCAAGGCGTAAAGGCTTAAATCAAGTTCGGCTTTACTAGGGTTTGGTGCAGCACTTATATAGCAATTCCACACTTGCTACGTCTTCATTCGCCAGGTCCTGTCTCTGGCTTGCGTCGTCTTTGCCTTCATCGGCCTGGTGCCTGATATGGTGCGGTCCGCAACGGTGCAAGCACGCACTTCTAGGAACGGCAACAGCATGCCGGCAGCTGCGTCCTTCGCGATGCAACTATGTTGACAAAGAGCACCTCGCGCGTTCCTCGGGCTTGGGTTCGAATTCAGTACGAGTCCAACCGTTTCGGACTTTTTGGAGCTTTCTCATGTCTGCCCAAATCCAAACTCAAAGGCCAACGCTGCTTATCATCACATCTTCACTTTGCATCTGTAATAATTCTTGTTCACGCTATCACTCTTCCTCTCATTGGATCCATCATGGTCAATTTGTAGTAGCTGTCCCACGAGCCGCAACCAATGCAAGGGTGGAAGGGCGGAGCGTCAAATGCGACTGTCACTAAATCGTAGTAACGTCCTCCGCTAATTCTGAGCGCCTTTGCTCCAAGTGCTTCCTGGGCACTTCAAGTCGCATGAAGCCCAGCCAGGCTGCTCCATCCTTCCACACGGGAAGGAGCAGGGCAAGTTCTGTACTCAGTGTACCAAGTGTAGGTATGAATCACGATAGACTGCACTATTGCCACTATTCTGCCCCCTGTACTTCTACTACTGCTGCTGACTGCAACGGTGCTGAAAGGTGTGAGACTTCATCACGATGAAGATGTCTTCGCATGCCCGCTGAGCACCAACAAGAGCATTCGACAGGGTGAACATGTACAACTAATGTAACACTGCTGTGTCAATACCAAACACACAAGAAATATACAGTAAACCCTTGAGAGGCTTCGTATGCGTACTGTTTGGCGCATGAATGCGCATGACAACATGTGAGGAAGCAGCGGTACGGGGTTTGCTTCATTGTCACTTATAGCATGTACTTTGACGTATTGTGGAAGAGAATAGACATAGTCATTTCAGGTGTGGCCTCAATTCAAGGCAGTATCTAGCATACAATCAGGCTTGAAGTATAGTCAGGCCATGCCAGGCCAGACTCTCGGAAAGCCTACGGCAAGTCTGGGTAACTTCATGGCATGCCCAGTGACACTAGTGCATGCATCCACGTGCTCGCGCCCCCACAGCTCACAGCACAAGAAAAATGTTTGTTGGGGAGCTCGGGGACCGCGAGACATCAAGTGTCCAGCCTCACGGCTTCTGACAAGCTTTGTAGCCAAGGAAGTTGCCTGCCCCTTGTGGCTCTCACAAAATCAGAAGCAATGAATATAGGTGAAATGACAAAAATGGGCACGGTGGGTCCAAGGAGTTTCTGAATCCAACGAATCAGCGCATCGAAGGCGAGCAGGACTTTTTTGTGCATTTTGATGATGCTATGCTCGCAAACTGACAACATGCCTGGGTACCGTGCAGTGGATGTTTCATCTCACGGTACTTTATAACCACTAGTTGAGGTCCTGGTTTGGTGCAGGTTATTGCAGGTTCGTTCCTGCTGACGCCAAACATCACTCTCACACCCCTGCCGCTGCAGCCTTCAGGACTGCGCAGTGCCGTATGGGAAGCGTCTTACAATTCCCAGTGGCCCAATGGTTCTGTACGTTTAGACGAGTGCATTCGAGTATGTCTGGGCGCTTTCACGCAATCAAGGACTAGGCTCCGGGCAGAAGATGGCAAGCAGCAAGCAGAGCTGCCCCAAGTGGCTTGGTTGCGTCTTTATTGGTCTTGGAGTGTGGCATCTGGTCGGATCAAGTGTCGCATGCCTCGCAAGCATGGTAGGTTCCTGGTGCTGAATGAAATTTCAGAGTGTCAGGGGAACTCATCGCTGCAATCTACGAGGTCACGCTTGGGCCAGGCAGCAGGAAATAGCAGGATTCAAATCTGCTTTGTGAACAGACTCGTGCAAACTTGTCAGGACATGTTGGTCAATCCTCCCATTCTCGTTTTTTCTTCTTGCCGCGGGGGCTCCTGCACACCCTGTACGGACCCCTCAAAGCACCCGGTGAAACCTGGAGCCGTGCCTTCACTTCACTTCTTTGGCCTCCTTCGCATCTTTCTTCTCCTTGTCCTTCTCCTTCTGATTCTGGTTCTCCTTGTCCTTCTCCTTCTCCTTCTCCCTCTTGCCTTCCAGTCTGTAACGCTGCGCCATGCACCGAAGCATACCCCAAGGACAGGGTCTGCACAGGCAGGTGCCGGGCCTCGGCGCGCACCTCGCCGGCAGCCTTCGTAGAAGCTGGCCCATAATACACGCCAAACAGATAGGCTTGAGGAGAAAAGGGTATAAGCGATTCTAAGGGGCCGCAGAACTCAAGCATCTCGATTAACATCAGCGCGAAGATGCGAGGCCCCAGCAGAAGGTTAGCATCTGTACTGCCACCTGAAACCACCTCGGAGCTGAACGTCCGGGCATATAAGAACACGAGAGTACACTAAGACAATAGCATAAGCCAGAGAATCCCCGCACATTTGCAAGCCGAGGTGCCGCGTGCCCTCCAGAAGCAGCAGCGCCAAGGCAAGAGCAAGGAGACCCTGTGAGTCATGAATGTTTTACGTTTATGGTTTCATGGGCTTCATTTTCATGGGTTTCATGAATGTTTTGCGTTTATCGTTTCATGTGTCTTCACATGTATTCATATGGTTTCATGCTCTTAGAATCTCTTCACAAAGCCCAAATTCGCACATTCAAGGCACCGGGTGGACGCCAGCCAAGCCTTGGTCCATCACGTATCCCCGCACTGCTACCTTTGGATCTTCTTGCAGAGCTTCACAGTATCGCGCGCATGTCGTGACTTCATTGAGGGTCCCACTGGGCCGGTGTTGGGGATGCCTCGGAGCACCGATGCCCGTGCTGTTGTTGAGACAAGCGATCTGATGCAATGTGGTTGGCTGGGGGCACGGGCCGGTCGAGGAATCGGTCCATGGCCCCCTCTGAACTTCTACATGTTTTGTCTTGAGGCAGCTCGAACTCAGCTCGAGATGGTGGGGGGGGTTCGGGGGCCTGGAGCCGGCCCTCGACGCCGCCATGGAACTGACGCCAAAGCTCCTGTACACGAGCTCATGGATACTTGAGAGCAGGGCGAACGAAAGCTAGGGCGCAGGTGTGAAGACCGCGCTGCTCAGTCATGTAGACAAGCCCTGAAATATTTTGTAACAATGCTGACCTAAGGGGGGGGGCGGGGGGGACCCCCCCCCCCAACCTTATCGGGAACATGGGGCTCCCCCTCGCCAGCCTCCAAGGATTTCTTGTGTGGTCACAGGGGGCCCCCCCCCCCCCATGGCAGCTTAAACCTCCGATATATCGGAGATTAAGGCCCCTGAGTGCTGTTTGACCCAAGAACAAACTGGTAAACAAGAACTCCCGCAAGCTCCTAAAGAGCTAGCTTTCGTGATTTCATGGAATCACACACTCTGAAGCGGTTTCATACCCCGTTAAGCCGTTAAACGGTCTCTATGCATGCGTCGACCTCTGGCCGTCTCCTGTGCCGCCTGCAGGCCGCCCTGCATCGGCTGTGTGACCTGCTTCATGTCAAAACACCACGCCCAGATTTGTCCCCCCGCTGGCCCCCGTCGCCCAACCTCGGAAGGGAGCTGCGCAAAGACCTCATCACATGACCAACCGCAGGAAGCTACTACAAGCGAGGCCGGTGAGGGTTCACCTCGGAGCCCTTCTGCCGTGCAGCTGCAAGCACCTCAGAGACTCAGAGCCAATGCTGCGCTGCTTCGATACTTCAGAAAGGCCCCAGGGTGACGACGGGCCAGAAGCTACCCATCCTGGCAGGAGACCAGAGCAACAAAGTGCACCAATCCTGTACAATAGCATGTTGATTGACCACGAGCTCCAGGTACCCCACAGACCTGAAAGGTGGCCAAAGGTGCCCTGAAATGGTTCCCAAAACCCCGAGCCCATCTCACATCTACCCCATGGACCGTAGAGCCCAAGATGGCAATAAGAGGCATTTCAAGCATCATTAGCCGTCCCATCCCCATCCTCTGCCCACCTCCGAGAGGCCTCGCTATGGACGTCAGCTGCCGCGGTCCTCATGTGGAGGTGTCTCGCGGACAGCACAATGCGTCTCTTCTCCCGTGGGGTTCTTGCTGCCTTGTCTCCTCCTTCTATTTGTTCACAAGGGACTCGACTGCTGCCCTTTCTGCCCAGCCCGCCCCCACACCACAGTGCCTATGACTGCAGGGCGAGAGTCGCCACTTCGCGGCACCAAGCTTCAGACACAACTTGATAGGACACTACTCTCTGGAACGCTTTGTATAGCTTTACAGTGACATCATAAAGGGTATGCTCAAAGATCTCAGAAGCAGTATGCGCGAAGAGTACTTGGAAAGACAGCCAGGTGTCCACATATCTGAGATGACAAAATGACGAGAAGTGCGAATTTGTTTGAATTCCTTCAAGACGTCAGCTTTACTTACGCAGCCTGTGACTCCGGCTGCATGTCGCAAAAATGGTGATGCTGGGCCTTTCCCATGGTGCTGATTGGTGCACTGTGCATGGGCGGTGGCGCGTCCGGGCAACTGATTTTGAAAGCGCGCCATCCGAAATATGATGACTATGCCTACGGTGCCTGGTGGTACTGTGCTCTCTCTTTTGTTTGTTGTGTTGAGATTCGCTAGAAGGTCTAGGAAGGGCACTCTTCTGTCTTTCTGTAATGGCCGGGTCGCCGGAGCGGCGCTGCCCAGGCGTGCAGGGCATCGAGTCTGGGGCCTGAGAGCCTCAGAGCAAGACAATAAAAGAGACGAAGGCTTTGAACGAACGGGAGAGAGAGAGAGAGAGACGGGGGGGTTAGGGTTATGAGTAAACTTGGCAATGTCTGCGCTTCTACAAATACTTATCTTGCAAAACATCTGTAGAAAGGCGTGAATCTCGGAAAATGCAACCTGCATTTTTTCTGCGTTTTTTTTTTTGTGACCTGACAGGCTCCGGGGGATGGCGGGACCTCGAAATCTCATCATACGATTTGGGAACACGGATTTTCCACAGATTCCAAACCAACAAAACGAAGGGCCATGGATTCTCCACAGGTATTCCGCTCTTCAGGAATGTCACGTTGGACACAGACATTCCACAGAAAAAACTCTTCAGACACATTACCAGGATTTATAGATATAAGGTTAGGGTAGAGGAAAGAGAGAAGGATACAAAAAGAGCAGCGAATGAGAGCGCGCGACATGCGTGGAGGGAGAATTCGATCCCAGCCGTCCAAGTGCCGAGCGCTCCGGCTGCTTCCCCCGCAGCATGGCTGACCAGGTCCTGAACATCAGGCCGTAGAGCAGAAGCGGAGCTTTCAAGGAGGGACATTCGGACTGATTAGAGCAGAGGGAAGGCATAGACAAGGCTTCGTTCAGAAACGCATCTTGCTGCTCTTCGGCTCTGCGCTAGCTGCCTGCATCACCACCCAGGACTTCCCGAGCAAGTCCGAGCCGCCTCAAAAGCGGAACGAAGCGAAGGTAAGCCAAGAGAGAGAAGGACCTTGTCTTCTCCGCCTCCAGCACCCTGTTCGAGCCCCTCGAGCTCCAAGATACGCGCCACCTCTGAGCTGACTGTTTTGTGGGGCCTTGATGCAAATTCTCGAATTCTATGATGGGCTTTCTTCCCGCCATGTAAGGCAGGACACATTGTCGGTCTACGAGAAAACCCAAGCCCCGTCGAAATCAAAAACCGAAAAACCCGAGTCCACGCCCTCCACGCCCAAGTGGATCAAGGCTCTTGCCTGCTGCTCCACCAAGATCCTGTACTCCCGGCCTTCACAAGAGAACGCGCTGGCGATGAGGGATGTGGTGGTGCTTTCCTGGGGCCGGCGCAGGCATCCGGGGTGTCCTCCGGTGGCAGCCTCTTGGTTTTTTTGGACATTGCAAAATAGAAGTACTGCAAGCAGCAACGAAGCACAGGAACTTGCCTCCGCAGTTCCTCAAGCCGGCTCTGGTCCACGGCGTACCTCTGGCCGCTTTGGTTCTCACACGCTTCCCCTGGCGTTCCTTGCTGTCCCTCCCTTTGGGAGGTTCTGACCAGGTGGCGAAAGACGCGGAAAGCGCTGCAAGGACTGTAGACAGCCTTGCATCCCACAAGAACCTTTCACAGAGTTGCTTCATTCGCACTGCACTGGGGTCCCTGCAGGTTCATGGCGCCGGGTCAAAGGCAAAGCTCTGCCACAAAGGTCCCAAAGGGCCGTCGGCAGCACTGTTGCCCCCCAAAACAAGAGCCCTCTTTGGTTTGGACTCCTCGAGCCCAGGGCAGAGATGTACCATCATGTATACACACATATATGTATATATACATGTATATATATATATAATATATAGATGTATATCTGTCAATGCTGTTTGCTGCATTATTGCCAGCTGGGAATCTGAGCGTGGCTGACCAGTGCTGGTCCATGCGGGCACTGGTTTGCAATCGGTTTTGCAGGTGGCATGTCACATCCTGGCTCGCACTGTGGGGTGAAACGTCACGGCTCTGCGTGCGAATCCCCAAGGGCAGGGTCCGAAAGGTGGGAAATGAACGGTTTGGGGATTCTTTTCACCATCGTGCGCTTCGATCCTCGAAGGTCTGCTTTTTTTGAAGAGCCCCCACCTTCGGCGCATCTTTTGTGCAGCCGCTGCCCTGCCCAGCCCTTGTATTGACACTCTTTTTGTCTGGACTCTCCGCATCGGGAGCCAGCGCAGTGATTGGGGGGTATACACATCTATGCTGTACACACCTCGAATTGAAGATTTTGAATCACATTCCTTCAAGGAATGCCCTTCGGCATGCAGCCTCCCTATCAGGCGCCGGACCCTGGCAGGTATGTCACAAGGCTTCAAGCTCTTGCCTTACTTGAGTTGAGTGCTCTGAGCCAAGCCTTTCTTCACTCAAAGACGCGCGTGTAGATCACGATGAACTCCGCATAGACCGCCTGAGCAAAGGTAAGAGATCAAAACAGGCAAGAGAGAGTGGAGAGAGAGTGACAAACAGAGGGAGAGGTAGAAAAACATGTCCAAAGTGCTGAGCCCTCTGCCTCCTCATTGAAAAAAACCATCTCCCGGAATGTGCCGGCCGCAGCGAGCCTATCCCCGCACACCTCAAAACAAAACGCCAAAGAACCGAAAGAGCCGTGAGCTCAAGGTTCTCCAATTCGAAGTGATACTACTAAGGAATAGATGAAAGAGGCAGCTTCGCATATCTTATGCAGAGTTCAGGCTAGCAAACCCTGACAGCGACCTCAGAGAGCTCTTCCCACAGCTATGGGTGCCAAGTTGCAGAATCGTAGCCCCCGGCACGCACTGTCTCCTAAGAACACCGGGCAGCAACGCCAAAGCGAATCCCTGAGCAACACCAAAATAGCACAACATCCTGCCTGCGTGTCGCCCGCTTCTGACCTTGCTTCTCCCTCTGCCCCCCGTCGCTGCAGATTAGCACCCCTTACGAATGCAACGCGCGTATATATATATATATATACACAAATAGATATACATATATGTATGTATACTGACCTCCTGATGATGCTGTGGGAGGAACATCCCTGTCCAAGATAAGGGTCGGGGCTGTTTTTGGCAGGGCAAACAAATTCCACCTTTCTTGTTGCTTTCCAGTTGTAGATTTACTTTTGGAACAGCGACTGCAAATCCTTTGGGTCTCTTGGCGCCGTGTGATAAATTCTCCAAGGGACGGTCCCTGTTGATGCCATCAGCAGTCATAAATATAGGGGTGTATCGTGAAGTGGGACAGAAACAAGCGCGTGGCCTGTGCATGTGCTGCTACATTATCGGGCAATGGTCTCGGCTTCACGCAGCCCTGCACTCCGAGGCAAGCCCCCCCCCCCCTCTCTTTGCCCAGCCGGAGCGTGCAAATTCAGATCAGCAAAGTTGGATGCCATTTACCTTTCGGGTTACGTTGCACATTCTTGCGAGCATGTTTCCAACCGAACGGGTGTCTTACAAATTGCAAAATGCATCAAGATTTCTAAGGAGCAAAGCTCCCACTTTTTCAGCACCATGGAGCTGCACTCCGACAGGAGGCAGAGCTTGAACTTCCGGCGCGCTTCAGCTGTCAGCTTGTCCATCAGCTGTTTCATCATAGCACATACGTAATATATCATTGTCTGATCCAGGGACGGTTTGCCCTTGTGAGCCTCTACGCCCAGTGTCGGGCAGCTCGTTTTTGCTGGGACGCTTGTCCCTTCGTGGAACGAAGCAAGTCGGCGTTAAACCCCCCTACACGAACCCGAGCCAAGAAAAGAACACGTACAAACGATGCTGCTGTCTCCGTGCGAGAACACAACCCATTCTCTCTTAAACACTGTTTTGCCAGTCCATTAACCTCTTTCGGACTTCGGATGACACTCTTGCTGTGCGTTTCAAGTCGCTAGCGATCGAGGCTACGGACGCTGGAGTTCAAGAAGCTATTTGTTTTAGTAGACCATAGGCTCTGCAGAGTCTTAGCCCTTCTCCTCATCGGGTGCATTCTCTGGGGGCCGTGCACCGTGAGAACTTCACCCATAGCACAGCGGCAGAGAAGCATGGCACAAAGGCCGAGGTACACCCCGGCACCTGCATGAGAACAACGACTGCTGCTGGAAGGGGGATTCTGCAAAAGTCACCAGGAGCGTTTTGGCTTCAGATTCTAAGGTAGAAAGAGGAAGATGGTGAACGACTGCTTCCGGGCATCTTTCGGGTCATTGGAGATCATGAAAAATATTGGACAAATTTGGCAATTGGAGTTCTTGCGAAGCTTCTGTGGGAGCATCTCTGGCCTTCCTTCGCGTACTCGTCACTCTTGCTGGCCTTTTTATGGCAGTGTCCACACGAGAACTGCCAAAAATGACAAAGCGGTTGACTAAGGTGGGCAGGGCGTAATCTTGGGATCGTACGTTCTCCGCCAAGTAGATGCCTGTGAGGACAGTGCTCAAGAACTTTCCCGACTTGCAATCCTCTGTTGCGTCTCCCACACGCGCCAAGCATGCCACTACAACATGCGCCTCGTCCAAACATGCTCCCGGCACAGCTGCCCGCACGGTCCATCTTGAACAAATCCCTGCAACAGCCCGACATGCGTCTGCTGCAGCACGATGCAACATGCATGGATCGCTTCGAGGCCATGGCAAAAGATCCCCTGACAAGACTCGGTCCGAGAACGCTCCCCACAGAGAGCTTGGCTGTCCTGGCGATGGACTGGGCCGACTCTGGATTGGTGCCGTGGAAGAGGTAGCCTCCGGCGGAGAGTGATAGCGGCTCATTCGACTCATTCGACTCATTCAGATTGCTTCAACATTGACTTTGGTGCCAGGCGCTCGTTAACGTCATCATCCAGCAGGTTGATCCTATCGGAGATGAGAGAGCAACAGCAACAGGCAATCTATGGCAAACTGATTCCCCTCCCCTGCCGATCCCCCTTTCCTCTTCCCTGTCCTGTCGCTGGTTTGAGAGCGGAAGAGCGCGCACGGTCCCGGCCGCTTCATTCGGAGGCCATCCTTCCAAGCAATCGGAGCTACAGTAACAGCTCTCCTGCCCCGTGCTGGGGGAAGTGATGCCAAGAGTAAGGACGTACTGTTGGCGCGCCTTGTAATTCGCATAGCGCGTGAAGGCACGGTGATTCTCCACGCGCAGCACATTCCTGCAGTCCGGGGCTTGGAAGGGAGGAAAGCACTGCGCCGACCGAAAGGTCTGCCTAACTACACTTTCTTCTCCCATCCCGACTGCTGCTGCCGAGGGGCGCCACACGGCAGCCCAGCGGCACGCGCTCAGCACCCGCCACCAACCAGCGGTCCTCCCACGTGAATTGACATGTGGAATATTGTGGAAGGATGCACATAAAGAGCATGTGGCAAGACTTGGACATGAGAGGCCCTGCCCGCGTGTAGCGGCTGCGCCAGGTGTCGTTCATGAGCTGTTGCACCTGACGGGGCCCTTCCTTTAGTGCCTAGTGCAATGACGTACTCCGCAGTCCGAGTTCTGAAATCATTTCGTGCCTCGGCGATTCGGTTCGGGTCCGGGAAGATGTGAATACCATCCCTGCAGCACAGAAGGGCATTGCAAGGCCCCAGAGCCATGGCGGTTTGCAATCTTGGAAATCTTGGATCGTTATTCCATCAACAGTTGCCATTTGCTGCTCTCGCGTCGTGCCTGGTTGCCCAGTAAGGGGGCAATGTCAGCTGGTCGATGACCTGGGGATGTAGTAAGACAATTTTGAATACGGGTATGAATATCCACACTGCGTTATACCTCAACTGGGAAGGTTGCCGTGTCAAACGGCAGCTAATCAAGATCTCTTTTTTCTGGGGGGCGATGCTGAGAAACATGGTTGCTTGTAGAATATTAGGACAAAGAGATCCTCCAGCCGCCCATGGTAAGAGCCAACCTCTCACCTTCCACCACCCGCCACTCCTGCCCGTGTCTGGGTTTTCAAAAGCTGAGTTGTGCAATCTAAATACCCCAAACCCATACTACTGAACCTTGATGGTTGGTTGAATGGAACGGAGATCGTAGGGGTGCTACGCTACATGTAAACGAGCACATCTGGCTCGCTGCTCCTGTTGTTTTTGCCAGAACCGCTGCTGCTCCGCACAGTGATTCCTTGATCTGCGCTAGCGTAACCGTGGTCATATCAGCTTTCCAGCATCAACCTGTTGGGAGTGGAGCGCCGCAGTCCGGCGCTTGCCCCTGCCCCCACATTGCCCTCGAACCTCTCAGGGCTGGGCTACGTCGATGCACTCGTCCGTCCTGGCTTGCAACTCTGGAAATCTCTGCTGTTCGCGCTCCTCTGCTCCGTCCTGGCACGGGTATGGCTGGAGGCTGCCGTTGGTGCCGAGGCCGTGGACCGAGCAGAGCGGCCAGAGAAGGAGCCTACCTGTGCCAGGTCTGCCAGAGCCAAGGCTGCTTCTGACCCAGAAGCGACCAAGGGAACAAACTTTGCGTGAACATAGTGAACATCAACGAAGCAGAAAGCGAGAAACAAATCAACTCGGAGGAGAGAATCCAAGGCCTTCGGAAGGCCCAAGGCGCAGGAAGGCGCCTTATTCACACGGTGCCCCGGAATGTCGGAGCGTCTCTTCTCGTTGACAAATTCAACCATCCGTCTTCTCGCAGCGTATTCAGGTGCTGGCAGGAGGGGCCACGGGGGTCAGCGCGGGCATGTCCCGCATGTCCCCCACGGCTGCGGCCACCGCCGCAGCCATGGCCCTGCAGGAATGGACTTTTTCTCTACATAACCCCAATCTGGGCAAACATGTGCAGAACTCTCGTTACAGACTCGTTCTCTTGGCCTTCGCTTCAGGAAGCGGTGTCGCAATAGGCCCGTGGTAAAAACCAGTAGCCTGGATGGCACATGCGCACCAGAAATTCCTTGAAGGGCTTTGGCGCAATGCCCTGCAAAGCAAGCAAGGCAAGTTGACCAGTGGCGACTTGCCATGAAGTTAATTGATGCCAATTGTGCTCCGTCAAAGTTCAGGAACTTGCAGAGCAAGTCTTCAAAAGATTTGCCAGAATATGACTCCTCGGCCGACATCGCTTGTGGCTGTGCATTATGGACCCCGGGGGCGGGACGAGTTCGGTATTCAAATTCATTGTGCCACTCCTAGAAAATCACATGTCTTCATGCGACGACATGTTCGGCAACTTGGTGTGTTTGGTGATGTTTGGCAGTTGGCCTTCTGATCGTGCACCTGCCGATCGTGCATCTGGTGGTCGCCGCTTTCATGTTAAGTATCTGAACCATGCAGCGAGGATGACGTACGATACCATGAGGTGCCAGTATGATGCAGTGTGTACCAGTACACAGCAATACGGTGACTTGCCATCTTTGCTGTTTCGAGCTCAAAACAGGTACACGACTCTGCATCCCAAGTCGCTTCCCCAGGGCGGAACTAGTTAGGTACCCACCTAGTAATCTGGTTGACCTGTGCTTGCATCGCTTGTCCCATGTCAATCTCTGCACTATTCTGTGGGCGCACACTTGCAAGGTCACAGTCCCGTGCATCTGTGGTTCCCAGCTGCAACAAAAGCACCTGGAAGGATTATTTACAGGTTGTTCCACAAGGACAAACTCGTGGTCCTTGGCCCTGTCGGAGCAGATGAAGAGAGCAGTTGACGAACTGAAGAAAGTATCATTCTAAACCCTAAACCCTAAACCCCAAACCCCAAACCCTAAACCCTAAACTCATGATTCAACGTCTTGGCGACGGGACTTTCGCAAGGCCCTTAAGGGCGCCGAGGTCCAGGCAGCACAGCAGCCGTGACGGCTGCGGCCATGGCCGCCACTGGCAGCTCCGAGCGCAGACCCTGAAATGAATGTTTAGTCGCTCACTCTCGCACAAGGCAGGCAAGGATTCATTTAGGGTTTAGGGTTTAGGGTTTAGGGTTTAGGGTTTAGGGTTTAGGGTTTAGGGGTACTTGCATAAGAGTGTGCACGGCAGGCCTCGGTAGTGGCCATGTCGCCGGTGCCGGCTGTAGGCGAGACCAAGCGGCAAGCGCACTCGCCTTCTTCTTTGGCCTCGTGCTCGTTCTCGGTGCCCTCTGCGTTTTCTGCATCGCTGTCTCCGCAGGCCCGGCTGACGTTGCCTCAGGGGAATTCGTCGCTCTGGCCCTCTCTAACGAATGTCATCGCTTAAGCCGGACCCATGCAAGCAGGACAGAAGGCAATTCCGACGACAGGGTCTGCACACCGTCGCAAAGCGTTGCGTTTTTACCACCCTTCTTCACCCCTTCCACTGAGGCTGCGAACCATCCTGGCATCGGTAAGCCGGACGACCAGCGTAGCCTCAAACACACATGAACCGGCCATTCGGCTCATGCCCCGTGATGCCCCTCGATGCTCCACTCACCGAGCTCCCAGGCCGTCGGGACAATCTAAGTGGACCAGCTCACCGTCTGCTAACATGCCGTGCCTGACAATGATCCCATGCTGATCCGCTGAAGACTCAAGACCCCAAGCTGAGGCTGCAGCGCCAGGTTGAGGGGCTCTCCGCCCTCAGACGATTCCTGGGCCTCCAAGGGGAACGGAATGAAGAAGGTGGATTTGGCCCTGCTTGGTTCTGTTATGCTCTTGCCAGGGCTGGTGCGACCAGGCCAGCGGCGCATCCTCCGGACTCTGATTTTATTTGTTGAGAGTACACCCACAGCCTCAACTCCCCCCAAGCTCAGGGCGTCCTCTTCTGCAGCTTCCTCGGTCTACTTCCACCTCACCTTTCCGGCACACGATGTTCAGAGACCTCAGAGCTCAACGTGCTGTCTCTGATGAGCATTGCCTGTCTCTGCCCTGCTTTGGCTCTGGCCCGGAGAAGCCATCTGGGCAGGCCTTTTTATGTTTTTATGATTTGGAGGCTGGCCGGGAAATGTCGGGGAATCGGGAATGAAGAAGATGGGACGAAGTGTGGTGCCTTTTGAATAGTCACTGTCGGGCAGTCTTACATTACAGGAACTGCCGCCCTTCGACCAGCCCAAATGACGAGATTGCCGTGCCCTCATAGCGCTGTGTTCGGATGCCCTTTGCGGCCCCTTGTCTTCGCCCAGACCCCAAACCCCAATTTTGCAGAAAATTCGTCCTCAAATGCATCTCACCAGCGAAGGCGAACAAGTCTGAATTCCAGGCTCGCCGGGCAAGCGAATCTTCCCCTCTGACTCATAGGCAGAGCGCAAAAAAATCACCCACCGCTGACCACAAGGGGGGGGGGGGAAAGGATGAATATCTCGGCTGCCGGCGAGAATGAGGAGTTCCTTATCGTCCAAGTTGTCGTGGGAAACCTCCCACTGCAGCATGGCTGCAACATTGATACCCGCTGTGCCCTTGCCCTCAGCGCTCCTCCGCACTGCCTGAAGTTACCACGCCCGCCTTAGTGGGAACCCCGACCCTCCCCAAACAACCCCAGGTCCTAGGGGATTCCTCAAATCTCCTCTTATCGCTGCGGCCTTCCCATCTTTTTAAGCCTTAGGGTCGGCACTGGACAGAAGGAGGAGCGCTGGCAGGTGCTCTCTGTGACGTTGATGTAGCCACCTTCGCTTTCGATATCTTGCAGTTTAGCCGGTGCCATTCTTCATTCTCCATTCACTGAAGAGGAACAGTGAGCGAGAGAAGTGCAAACAGCCCAGAGCAAAACTGAGCGCATGGGCCATCACAGGAGAGGTAGACTCCTTGGCCTGCGGAGCCCTTCGGACATACGACCTGTGCAGGACGTGCCTGTCTCCATGCCATTCTGCTGCCATCTCTACTCTCATGCCTTCACAGTGCCGCCCTCGATCATCTTGCCGTGGGACACCTGGCGTGCCCCTACACTGCAGCTGTGCCTTACTCACAGCACCCTATCGTAGCTACGCTGCTACACGCTGCTGCTTTGTGCTGCGCTGGTCTACCCTTCCATGTGCAGATGACTGTAGATGCAAAACCAGCCGGACAGCTCATGCTGGCAAAAGCTGACACAATCGTGAGAGCCTTGATGGAATAAGGTAGGATAAGTTCTGCCGCGCTTCGTAGTTCGAAAATTTGTTAAAGTTGCGTTGCGAGTGTCAGATGATGTCAATGTCAACGTCTACCAAGCTGCATGGTGCCAAATAGCTCCTTTCTGTTGCAGCATGTTGTAGTGATCGCAGTAGAGCACGCGCCCGCTACGTTCCAGGGGCAAAAAGGTTAATCTCTGGGTTTGAAGATGGCTTAACCCCCCAAAAGGGCTTCTCCTCGGGGGGCCTCCACAGCACCATCATCAACCCAAAGGCTACCCGTGGTGTCGCAAGTGGCTCGGCAGGAAAACTCTCCGTGCTTCTGCACCTCGTGGTGCCCAAAGTCTCTCTTTCCCGGAAAGGACATCATGAGCACACATGATGCGATAAACGTTAAGATGCGCCTGTCACCAGCGTATTCTTGAGTGCAATAGCTGGGGTCGGTGCAACGCTGCCGTCTTGGCATTGCAGGAAGTACTGCCCCTGACCGTGGAATGCTGAAGGCGCAGGCTACTTGTAACACCCAGCAAAGATCAGCCCTCCTGCTGCCAGCAGAGTTAACTTGCTGTGTGGGCGTCTACATTGCGCCATACATTTTTCCGACATCGGGCCAGTGTCAGCCCTCCATGCGTCATGTGGTTGAGCTTGTTTGCTCAAATGTCAAGTTGCAAGTTCTGAGCTACACAATGCCGTGTGCGCGAGAGGGGAAGGCGATTATTGAAAGACAACGCCCCGTGAAGGATGGGACACACTCCCCCTCAAATTATTCCAAAAACGATACGGCTCCGGTCCAGCAGCACAAGCGGTTGAAGTTGAGTCCTATTCAGTCCTATACCCCCTATTACAGGAACCCCCCTCCCTTCCCCCCCCCCCCCGCGCCCATTAAAAAAAGTATCGGCCTCGAAGCCCTCGGGGCAAGAGCTGGGCTCCATGATTCCGTGGTCCATGGCAGAGTGCTCCACCAAGGCATGGCCCTGAGCTTCAAGGAAGCTGCAGCTGCCGTAGCTCAGGAGGGTTTTCCCCAAAGAGGGGTACCCCTTGCATTGCCCTACATACCCCAAATAGCTGGGGGAATCCCCAGAATAGGTACCTAGTACTATTTTCGGAAACGTCCCAAAGTCGTCCCAGAAGCCAGAAGAAACTGCCCGGCAGGGCAGGACCGTGCCCGGCGGCAGCCGGCGTTGCTCAGCAGTGTTTTGCCGTCCTGGGACAGAGTCCGAAAGCTGCTGGCCGCATGGCACTATACCCAGTAGCTGCGTAATCACGATTATAACACCTTAGACCAGCTGAATCTATGAGCGCAGATGGCCGGTCATTTCGACATCATTGCCACATTCGTCGCATTGGGGAGATTGTCAGCATGGCAGGCGTTTGCTCTACGCGTGTTTGAACCGACCGCGAGTGCTCGTCCTGGCAAAGGAACTCGGCTGAACCCACGAGGTGCCCCGGGCAATCGCTCACCAGAACCTTGAGCGGTGTTTGAGGGTTTCGCAACCCACAAAAAACACATAAGGATCTCCAGAAAACGGCCCCCAACTTCAGGCAAAACCGGGCCTCGCGGTCATCCAGACTGGGGTGCTCCAAGGCCTTGATGCAATCGATTTAAGATGGTTCCTCCCTCTCAATGCCTCCCTCCCTCCCTCTCTCGCTGACGGAAAAGTGCTTGTGAGGTTCGGACAAAGGTGCTGTCTTCCATCTCTAGCGGCACCGAGCCTTCCGAGTGAAAGAAAAGCAGCATGAGTCGTTTGGAGAGAATCGAGGCCATGAATAGTCATGCAAAACGAAATCCAAGATTGCACGAGAAGTGCCCGCCAACAAAGTGCTTGTTGGGAAGCCCCTATGCTCAGCTTTGGCCTGCAGCACAGCGTTTGCCACATTTCCTGAGGACAAGGAAGGCCCACGAGAGAGGGGAAAGGGCAGCCCGATGGCTCCTCCCTCTCTCCCTCTCTCCCTCTCTCTCTCTCTCTCTCTCTATCTCGCTCTCTCTTTAACACTTCCTTATCAACGAATGAAAATTTTCGATGTTGCTTTTTCATACGCTGGGGCGGTTTTTGATTGGCTGGCGGAGATTAAGCTCCTGCAGTCCGTGGCAGTATAGACGGCGGAACCGAAACTGACAGAACCATTCCACTCCACTCCGCGAACAAAGGTATGGGCGGGCCCGATACGCTCGGTTCTGCCTGTATTTTGACGCGTATCAGCATGTCGCATCGGGACGAGAGATGGGGAGCCCAGACACTGTGGGGAGCATTGGGGAGCGAGCACTTCCCGGTGCTCGCGGGCTGCAGAAGGGGAGGGCTCTCTTGCCTCTTGCTTCGGATTCGGGGTCTCCTTCCTACACCACACGCAGGCTTCCCCCCCAAGTCCGTGGGAGGTCCTGCCTGTGCTCCAAGTCGTCGGAGAGACACTACCGTATATAATTCGGGCATCAGCGAAAAAACCTGACTAAGCAACTAGCTGGTCCACAGCGAGACACAAGTTAACTGCTTCCATCCAGATATAGGCTGCCTCCGCCAAGAAACTCCCAAAGAGAACCTTAAGTTCTCGTGCTAGCTGCTCTGCTGTCCTGAAGCTCTCGTCATTAGCTGGATCGCCAAGTCAACCAACCAGGCACGTCTTCCGATTGGATAACCTTGGGTTTCTGGTAGGTCGGCTGAAGTCGCAGCGCCAAAGCCGGGGTAGGATTGGAATGGACACGGAGTCCGAGCCTGTCCAGATCGCAGAGATCCGTGCGAAAATGCCCACCCCGAATTTTATCCGCATTGCCCCAACGTGTCCCGATTGTCGGGTCAAGGCATTGTGGCACCTTGCCTCCACCTTTGCATCACATCACGGAACCTCCCCACCATCTGACCAGCCGGGAGGCCGCGAGGCCGTCGTCATCGCTCTGGCCCGGCAAAGCTTTATTTCCTTCTTTCTGTTTCTGTCGTTGGGGCCGTTAAGGCTAAGGCATGGAGGCCAAGACGTTGCCAAGACCTCCGCGCATCCAGCGTCTTTGCCCGACTCTCTACAAAGGACCGGTGACACCCGCCCCTGCTAATTTTTTTAATGAATCGCAGCCGATAGTTCATGCCCCACCTTCCGCAACACAAGCCTCGTCCCGAGTCCTCTGAAGCACATTCCATCCCCCCACAGGCTCTCTCTTCTTTTTCTCAGCCGGGCATGGAGAAACATGGAACAACTGAAAAGCGGGGCTACACGGAACACCCGCCGAAGTGCTGGGAAAGATTCCCCCCCAAAGTAAAATATGTAAGGTTCCATAAGATCACTCTCTCTGTCCATCCCTGGCCTTTCTTGCGCTTCTCCCTTCCACGACTTCTTTTGAGGCGCCGGCCCGGCATTCACGGAGAACTTGTTGTTGTTGCAGGCTAGCTTCATAGTGCCGTTGTAGCCTGGAGAGCGAACAAACTTCGAAAGAAGCCAGCTCCGCATGTTGACGCTCGGACGTGCTCGGGGGAGGGAGCGGTCGCTGAGGCTGGCGCCTTCTGGACACGGAACCTCCACAAGAGAGCAACCCTTACACGGCGCAGCAAGCACAACTCATACTCACACGATCTATGCCACGTGACTTGGCGCTGCATTCTGTACTGCTTCTTCAAAATCGGAGCATTGCATGGGTCGGTTCAGCTCAGTTCAGTTCCGCAGTGGTGTTTCCGCCATTGCTGCCGCTCACAAAGTTGCCGCAGTGCGTGTTCAAGCTCGTTTTGGCCCAGTTTCTCTGGCAACGATGGGCGTACTAATGCTCTGGCATCTCTCGCAGCGCGCCCAGCACAAGAATGCATAAGCTCCTTGGACTGATTGAGACAGCAAAGTAGATTCTGAAAAACCAGGCTGCTAGATCCTCAGGTGGCGAAAGTATTGAAAAGCGGTCACAAGGGGCTTAGACGAAAGAGAGCCGCAGGCCTACAAGCCATGCGCCTAGCAAATTTAACACCAAAGTGAAACGTGACGTCAAGAATACCTGCTCCCAACGGATGCTACTAGTAGCGGCACTAGTAGGTCTTAGTAGGTTTCGCAGATAAAGGATACTGATGCTCCACGAGCTGATGCTCCACTTCTAATTATGAAAGATGTTGTAGCAAGCAGGCGACTGTCATGAGCAGTGGCACATCCGGCTTTTTCATCAACCAAGTGCACAAACGCCCGCCTGGATGGAACTGCCGTGGTCCGCCGCTCCATGCACCACCTGACTCGGAGCAGCGGAACGCATGGAAGCAATAGAATAGGGAAATAGGAAGCCAGCTTGGAATAGTTGTGAACCACAGGCAGGAAAAACTGACATTGCGACGGGCAAGATTTATGTTTGGCCATGGTGTGAAGTCAGGCGTCCAGCATTCATCCGCCGATGGTGCCCGCATAGCGTTTTGATCTCCCCTCCCCTCAAGCAACTGACTACGAGTAGCTTACAGGTAGCTGCTGCATGCTTGCTGGCAGCAACTTCGCAATCCACCGCTTGCCCATGGACGATCCCTCCACCCGTGGCAAAGGCACGTTCCGGCTCGCTCTGCTGTAAACACCCGGCATCAACGGTCGCTGCAAGTGGCACAGGCCGCGCCCCCACTTTCTTGCCCCACCTTGCCCAGAAAACCCAATGCGCTAAATTCGTCCATCCCTCTCCTTCAGCAAACTGAGATGTTCAGGTGGCGCAAGGAAAATAGGAAATAACTTGATTTAAGCTTGCTGAGAGCACATTGGGGGGTCGGTGGGATGAAAGTTGTACTCCAGAAGTTGTGAGAAGCATGAGCTATCTTGAACTGTAGCAACTTGGGGAAACGTCTGATCCAACTGAGTTCTAGCCCCATCTTTTCAATATCCGCACGTTCCAGGCCTTGATGCTGCTTGTGTTCATTCGGCTTGCCACCTGAGGGAAGGTTTACAAGCAGCTCTGGCCCATCCCATCCCTCAGCCCAGCGTGCCTCCAGCGTCCCCGCGGGGCACTTTAGCGTCAGCCGCTGGATACGGCCAGCCTTGCGATCGGTCCAGTAGACCTGGGCCGATTCTGGATCCACAGCCACACCATAAGGCCTCAGAAACAGGAGAACACTTTCAGAGAAACTATGAACTATTGCTGCTGCTTTCTCTGGATCTCCCGGGTGTCAGGCATGCTCATCCCAGGCTCGCTGACAAGCACCTGGTCACCCCCAAACGTTCACCACAAACCACCATCTGCACACGACACCTAGTCATGGGCCCCTGACATACAAACACAATACGTTTATGCATGCTGCCGCAAGGCATCGTCCATCAATGTGGGAACGTAAAAGCCCGGTAGACCGTCCTTTTACGACGTAATGTGCCACCTTGTTTAGTGGCACATGCAGGCTTCTTAGTCGGAGCTAGCTCCGCAACTTTTTTGACGAATGCTTTCGACCGACAGAACATACATACATTTGAACTTGTTGGGGTCAGTTGGAGTACGAGGCCGTGCAGCAGCTAGAATTCCTGGGATGACTCGACCCAGCTGTAAGGCACTTGTAGTGTCGGGACTTACAGCATGACTGGAAAAGCAAACTGCGCAAGCGACCGTTGATTATTGCGGAGCTTTTCCAGCGGCATCTGTCATCAGAATTGGGTAGAGGTCCAGGTACGGGTTTGGGGGGCGCTCAGGGTGGAGGGTGAGGGCGGTGAAGGTTTGTTGGCGCCCCTTAAATTATTTAAATCTACTGCCACCTGCAGGAGCTCAGGGTAGGAGGGTATGGGTGAGGTTTAAGGTGAGGGGCCTTCTGTGGGCTTCTGTGACAAAATCTACGTAACATAAAGACGTTCTTGAGGCTTTACGTGTGTTGCCTTAGGTTCTGCTTTTGGGGGAAAGCTCCTCTCTCCTGTCCCTCTCTGGCCCTGAACCTCGGCGTCACTCCCGTCCAAGTTGGTGCGGATGATGCGGCCTGAATGCTCGCCACGTGGGTTGAAGCAGAGGCACAGTGCAACACGAGGGCCGTGGTATCTCAAGTCTTGCCCCGACCACACATCCCTGCGGCATTATTCGCTTGATCCTATCGGCCTGCATAGTCGGATGAGCTCCCCGTGAAGTCGCCAGTCTTCTGGAAGTCTGTCATGTAAAGCTTCCTGCACCACTCGAATAGGCACAGTTGGCCCAGAAGTCTACGGCAAGAGGCCTGTCTGAGGTGTCAATGGCCATTCCGTAGGTGTTCATGATGGCCCAGCTCATGTTCAGCGCCTCGACCCCCAGCAAAAAACGTCAGAAATCACTGTCGACCCGCGGAGAAGATCCCCGGCACTCCGCTGGCAGACGCTGCCTGGACGCCGCTGCCGTCCAGTTGCGCCCTCTGCGTCCGGGCGTTGCCCACGTCCGACCAATAGATCTCAGGCTCGCAGGATTCACGACTGACGTCGACAGACATGTGAGACAAAAGTGCAAATCCAAAGGAAGAACACAGCAACTTATAGACAAAGGGTTCCACTGCGCGGCAAAACGTGCTGCAAGCCCCTGGCCATGCGGCTGCCCGCATCCAGGGCCACATCGACGGGCGAGGCCAACCCTGTCACAATGGGCTCCTGGCTCTGCTCCGCCCTTCTTGCTGCTCTCATGTGCCAAATAAGGCAAAATGATGTAAAGATATGTAAAGTGATGCAAAATGCCAGGACATGAAAACCCAAAAAAAAACATTGCTCCTCCTCTCCAGAGGGACCACGTCGCAGGATCTGCCCATTCCTAGAGGCGACGCTTCTACATCAGTTGATAGCAATTCAATCAATTCACAGTCTCTACACAGGGGCACCCGGCATCCAGTCAGCCCAGTACAAGGCATCTCCATCCACAAGAACACCACTGGCAAACTCCGCGTTTGCCACCACCTGAAAATCATTCGCAACGAGAGAATGGAGAGGCGTGCAAAACTCACTGGATGGCAGCCATCAAGGTTTTGCCCTCAGTTCTAGGATTTTAGAACAGCGCATAACGACATTCATTCTGCTGCATCGGGAATCGAGGAAATGAGTGGGAAACAAAACTGAATGAACGAATGATAGGACTAGGTCGAAGATTTGTTCTTGCTGCGCGGTCGTTTTTCTGGGTCGTCGAAAGACAGGTCCTGACAGGCGAAAGCGCATTGTTTTGGCTGTGCGGTCGTTGTTGCTGTGCCGGAGGCCGAAGCGCGTTTATTCAACTGTGTTGTCGTTTTTGCTGTGCAGGTGGGCTGAGATTTACAGCGTGCGAGACCGAAGCACCTTTTTTGGCTGCGCGGTCGTTTTTGCTGTGCAGGCTGTCATAGGAAAACCTGTCGCGCCTTTAACTTTTCTACGTGCCTAGTAAGTTTAGTAGGAAACCTCAGGTTTTGGCTCTCCATGTTCCAATCTTCGTGATGACCGGAAGTGAACCCTAAACCAATCTTTGCACAGCTAAAAAACAAACTTGACGAAGCGCCGGAGTGGGGGGGGGGGGGGAAAGGACCCTCGCATTTGCAAATGCCATGCTCATATGCAAGGTTTGGCAAGGATTCGTATGCTTTTTTGCAACCATCCTCTTGATGGCACGGTTCCTTTATGATGACGGATGAATATGGCTTTTCAAGCAAAGCTTCTTGAAGACCCACGTCAGTCCCTTAAGGCCGAAAACCAAACTTACCCACCCTCCCCTACCCCTCCTCAGCCCCTTCCCCCCTGCAAACACCATGCTTGCAAATATGCAGTGATATGCAGTGCAAACACGTGCCGGGCCCCTTTGTTTTGATCACGAACATTACAGTGCGGGAACGGGTGGACGCGGGGGACTTTATTTTCTTTGCTCAGGTGGACGCATTTTTTGCTGTGTGCTCGCGGGCCACTTCCACCTACCTGGCCGGAGATCCCCGCGCCACGCAGGGCGCGCTGTTTTGCTGCGTGGTCGCGGGCCCGCTACTCGCAGAGGTTTCTTTCCCGGTCCATGAGATTTGATTTTATGAAATTCATGACATGACAAGTTTGGGAGAAGATTCCATGCCATGAAAGTGACCATTCTGCCGACCACCATGCTTCCATAAGCTTCATCCTCCCCATACCATCGTTTCCTGGTCTCAAGCATGGCTGAAAACGACACGGCTAGTACTGTTCCAGAAATGAGCGCAGCAACATTCCGTGGTATGTGCGCGTGATGAAGATTCAGGCGTGAATTCTGCATACTCGGAGAGGGCTTGAGATTCAGCGGTACAAGTGCAGAAAACATTGGAGTACAGATCACCAAAGGTGCACAGCCTCTTCATTCTCGCCGTTCAGGTCGGCACGGCGCAGCCCGCAGCATAAGGCTGTCCAGTACACCTGTGCATCCGCAGAGCAACATGCCGGCAGAAAGAGCCCTGAATCAAAGTCTGGAAGTACACTACATCACGCCCCGGCGGGTTGAGAGTGCATGAATACTAGCAAGAAGAGGCCAACCCTGAACCCCTTAGCCTTAGACAACGAGTTGCAAATGGTAAATTGTAGCCGTGTGGGCTGGCATAGAAATGACATGTCTTGCGGAAATGGGCGAGTGAAACGAGCGAGTTTTCACGGGAAGTTTGCGAGATCACCGGGCGAACTTTTCGGACGGGTTGCCTGCTCACTATTTGAAGCCGCTTCTTGAGCTTTCTCGACATAAAGAAGACCGCTCACCGCTCATGACTGACTGGTGCCCTGTGGAGGAGCGCAGCAAGCCTCCACTAACCGCAAACGAACACAACTTTGGAACATTTTGGAACCGAAAGCTTTTGCAAGAGACCCGGCAAACCCTAAAATACCCCAAATCCCCTCCTTTTGCCTAGAACTACTTGACCTAAAGATCTTACGAGTAGCTTCACTCTCGGCACTCTGCCGCCTTCCCCTGCGCAGAATCCACAGCAACATCGCGTGGAGCTTCCTGCACTTCACTCTTCACCTGCAGCGTAGCGAGGCTTGCAGAGCCGGCAAAGAATGCACCCGTGCCATAGCCTTCTAGCACTAACATCTTAATGCCTGTCCAGACTTGTCCAGCTTGCCCTACTTAGTGGTGGCAACGAAGGCCAGAACAACTTGGGTTCTATACAGACATAAACACATGATTGCACCAGCTTCGCCCTACGTATCTAGCTTTTCTGCAAAGCAAGGCTGCAGCATTCATTTCAGACTTGTTTGAAGGTTCTGTGCGCAGCACATGAAAAGCGTCTGCGTGGGGCATCGGATCTCGGAAATCCAGGCAGCCAAGGCACCACTACGTCTCGAATGTCCTGCTCGATTTTCTGCAGGGCACAAATCGAATCACTTCACTAGTTACTAGTTGAAAGTGCATCGAAGCACTTCGGCGACTCACGCGAATCGAAAATGGAGGCAAGATTTCGGAGTGACTTCAAGTTTCTTTTAAGGGTGCCTAGCTACCCTAAACCCTAAACCCTAAACCCTAAACCCTAAACCCTAAACCCGGTAAACCCTAAACCCTACCCTAAAGTTTCGAAGAGGTTGCCGCGGGCCGTCCTGTCCATCAAGCGTGGCGCTCCGCAGCTTCTGCGTGCCACCCTGCAGGCAAACACATTTTCTGTGTCACTCCTATCGGGTTTAGGGTTTAGGGTTAAGCTTCTACGGCTACCTAGATGATCCTATGAGAATCCTGGAAGCGTGTCTGATGGTGGCCTCGGTCCAATACATGCGGCGCTCCCGAAGGTCCAAGGCGAGGCCACGCGGCAGCGAGAGTCCCGTCAAGACATCCAGCACGGCGTTTGCCGGCATCAGCTCAAAGGAGGTTATTACACAGAACCATAGTGTCCAAGACAGCCCAGAAGAACCGCACAGCCGTCTCCTTGGCGTCCTGAGCACCTGGGTGCCCGTCACGAGACATGCACTGTCCCAGTCTCCGTGCGAGAGCGTGTGCGTGTGCGTGTGCGTGTGCGTGCGTGCGTGCGTGGGTGGGTGGGTGGGTGGGTGCGTGGGTGGGTGGGTGCGTGGGTGGGTGGGTGGGTGGGTGGGGTGGGGGTGGGTGCGTGGGTGTTGCGTGTGGTGGGTGCGGGTGGGTGGTTGGTGGGTGGGTGCGTGCGTGTGCGTGCGTGTGCGTGCGTGTGCGTGCGTGCGTGCGTGCGTGCGTGCGTGCGTGCGTGGGTGCGTGGGTGCGCGCGTGCGTGCGTGCGTGGGTGCGTGGGGTGGGTGGGTGGGTGGGTGTGTGTGTGTGTGTGTGTGTGTGTGTGTGTGTGTGTGTGTGTGTGTGTGTGTGTGTGTGTGTGTCTCTGTGTCTCTGTGTCTCTGTGTGTGTGTGTGTGTGTGTGTGTGTGGTCTGTGTGTGTGTGTGTGTGTGTGTGTGTGTGTGTGTGTGTGTGTGTGTCTTGTCCTGGGTGGGCGTCCTGTTTGTTGTGTGTGGGTTTGTGGTTTTTGGTGTCTGTGTCTGTGTGTGTTTGTGTGTTGGTGTGTGTGTCCTGTGTTTGTGTGTGTGTGTGTCTGTTTGGTGGTGTTTGTGTGTGGTGTGTGTGTGTGTGTGTGTGTGTGTTTGGTTTTTGTGTTTGTGTGTGTGTGTGTGTTTGTGTGTGTGTGTGTTTGGTGTGGTGGTGTGTTTTTGGTTGTTGCGTGTGTTTTCGCGTGGTGCCGCGTTGTGCGGCTCGTGTGCGCGCGTGTGCCGCGTGTTGCGCGCGGTGTGCGCGCGTGCGCTCGTGTCCTTGTGCGCTCGTGCGCGCGCGCGCTGCATGCGTCGTGCGCGTGCGGCGGGGGCGTGCTTAGCCGTGCTTGCGTGCGTGCGTGCGTGCGTGCGTGCGTGCGTGCGTGCGTGGTGCTTGCGTGCGTGCGTGCGTGCGTGCGGTGCGTGCGTGCGTGCGTGCGTGCGTGCGTTCGTTCGTGCGTGCGTGCGTGCGTGCGTGGGGGTGTGTGTGTGTGTGTGTGTGTGTGTGTGTGTGTGTGTGTGTGTGTGTGTGTGTGTGTGTGTGTGTGTGTGTGTGTGTGTGTGTGTGTGTGTGTGTGTGTGTTCGTGTGTGTGGGTGTGTGTGTGTGTGTGTGTGTGTGTGGTGTTTGTGTGTGTGTGTGTGTTGTGTGTGTGTGTGTGTGTTGTGTGTGTGTGTGTGTGTGTGTGTGTGTGTGTGTGTGTGTGTGTGTGTGTGTGTGTGTGTGTGTGTGTGTGTGTGTGTGTGTGTGTGTGTGTGGTGTGTGTGTGTGTGTGTGTGTGTGTGTGTGTGTGTGTGTGTGTGTGTGTGTGTGTGTGTGTGTGTGTGTGTGTGTGTGTGTGTGTCTGTGTGTGAGACTGTACCAAGCCGAGCTGGCCAAGCCCCGGGCCGGGCTTCGTCTCACCATCTTCGGGGCCCCCGAGGGGGCCCCCAAGGGGGCCCCACCCAACGCCCCAAGAGGCGGCAAAAGTCGATTCAGACACCAAAAACGAATTCGGCCGGCGTCCCTCACTCGTCCCTGTCTCCCTTGCTCACTTGAGCCGATCTCAGGCGTTCAGGATCACAAGACCTTGTGCCACTCGGAGATAATCTGCATTTGGTGCCCACGCGCTTTGTTTGTTCTTTCTTCACGCTCACCCAAGCCATGCCAGGTCGAGCTCAGTTCAACGTGCTAATGCCCCGTCGCTGCTCCTCAGCTCAGTTTGGCTGGAATCCAGTCAGGGTCGGCAACATGTCTTGCTGGCGGTTATACAGTTCAGGACGACTCCCTGCAAGGGTTATACAGTACAGGACGTAAGAATCTCTTTGTATACGGAGAGCCTCGACAAGGTGAAGCTTCCCTTCTTAAACAGGTTTATTGTTGGGGTGGTAGGCGAAGTCCTCTCGGATCAGCTCAAACTACACACACGGTGCGATGCTGACGCTCGCTCGCACAACAGTCCCTCACAGCACAGCAAAACACGGACAGCAGCACTGCCAAACACGGACAGCAGCACTGCCAAGGGCGCGGAAGTCAACCCACTCACACAGAGTCATCCCCCCAGCCCAAAAGATCCGTTGCGGGCTCATCGTTAGTTCCCCAGCCCCAAGGATCTGGATTTCAAAGTTCGGCTGCCCCTGGCCCTGGCCTTCGAGGCGTTCCATAGATCGAGCCTAGGCAGCTGCATCACAACCATGAAACGGGAAGTTGTCACTTGCACGACTGTGAGGAAAGTGAGTACTTCATACTCTTGCTATGTCTTGCCTGCATGGCGTTCAGCTCCTGGTAGCGACGCAGGTCCACAGGTCGTCGAGGGTCGTCGAGGTCTCGGAATCTGAATCACTGATCTGCGCAGATATGATGTGCGCGCGTCTCCTAAAGCATTTCTGAGGCGAGTGCCGACCAACGCAGATTCGATCCCTTCATCCTCATGTTAAGTGAATTTACTTTAAGGAAAGCCAAGCCGCAAACCTACAAGCCGCTGTTTTTTTGTTGATGCGCTCTTATAGTTGATGACTCGTGCGTGCTATGTCAAGGAATGCCAAGATCTTGTCCTCCTCCTCCAGGGCCGCCCATGTGGAGGAGGCGTCCGTCCCTTGAAAGGCTCGCTGCCTGGAAACAGCGCAGACGCTGAACAAACCACACCCCAAGTATCCCCGCTCCCACGCAGGGGCACGCCACAATTAGCTGGGGCTTCTGGCGGAGCTTTGGCTGGAGCTCTTCGGGCCGCCTAGGGCAGCACTGAGGGTGACATGAACGTCGATGCCTGCAGCCTCAGTTCATCTGGCTCTTGGATCCATGCCCGTTGCCGGAGGCGCCGGTCCAAGGCCTTCAGGCGCTCTGCCTCGCGTAGATCCTGGAGGGATGCTGCACATCAGTCGCCACCTCTGGCAGCCCTGTTTTTTCCGTATTCTGTCTTAACAAGGCATTAGGCTCGAAGGCCCCCGTGCGTCATGTGCACCCTGCTAACTTGGACCATGATGACAAAAAAGCCAAACATGTTCAAAGGATCTCAAGGCGAATGGAGTCTCTGTGGTTCTTCTTTCCTCGGCCAAGCAGCTCTGTGTTTTCCAACCCGGGCCAACCACCATCGGTGCGGCCTACTTCCCTTGGTCGTCCCGGCGGCAGTGCCGGCACTAGTTGCTTGGTCGGTCATGTTTCCCCAGCACAAGGCCTCTCAACGTGCCCCCTGATGCCCTTGAGGTAACTTGGGCCCAACGAGCACCTCGAACAAAGCTTTGTGGCATCCTCCATTTTGACAATGTTGAGCCAGCTATGCTTCCACCGTTGGCCGCGGAACTTCTTCTTTGTTGATGTCCGCGCCACTATCGTAAGGAATATTGAAGTAGTGGGAAGGACGTATGTCCTTGGACTTCCCCGAAGGCCCACCCCTTGCACAAGAAATGCCGCGGACAGATTCAGATGACCAAGCACACCCGTAGCCAACACCATCAACTGCTGTGTGCCGAAGCTGGTGGGCTCTGGCCAGGTATGACTTCGGTTGGATACGGATGCGTGTTGTCTTAGCACCGACAAACGCAAGCAAGGTAGCCGTGTAGCAGCTGCAGTGTTGCCCCGTGCTTTCTCAGGCAGTCTGCGAGGTGGAAGCGGCAGAGGATGACACTGAGATGGAGGACCAGCGAAGCACGACGACAGGGGCGAGTACCAGCGTTGTTCCATCCAGGCCTACCAAGCCCCAAGCACAAGGGGTGGGTGACCCTGCCCACTCAACCCCGAGCGAAGCAGGTAGCGCACTTCAGCCGAAACATGCCCAAGTATCTCGCGCTACAGTCGGAATGCCAAGATAACAATTGCAGCGCGCTATGGTTCATTCCGAGCAAGCCGCAACAGTTCGCTGATGTTCCCCAGTGGAAACGAGTGGATTCAGTACACGACATGGTGTTTCTGGGCAAAAACCAAGAACAGAGAGTCATGGCACATTCCTTCTTCGTAAATGAAACGCCGACCCCTGAAGTGGTGATTCCTGGCTTTCTTCTGTTGAGAACTGCAATAAAATTATTTTGTTGGTAAGTACTCATACAAGTTAAAAATGGCAGACATGCTTAAATGACATTTTGTGTGGGATATTTAGTTCCCCTTCGTGCTCTAGTCTCCATATTTAAATCTCGCATCCTGTAAGCACGTAATAACATGTTGTGAACCCTTGGGTCACCCAAACAGTGATCACAAACCAGGAAGGAGAGACAGAGAGAGAGAGAGAGAGAGAGAGCGAGCGAGCGAGCGACAGAGTTAGAGTGGGATGCAGCCACGCAAAGCCACGAACACAAACACAGACAGGACAGGAGTCATTCCCACGCCTCCTCCTCCAACGCCTCAGTGGCACGTCATGCCAGATGTGAAAAACACCATCAGCATCAAGAAATCGAGCGCATGGCTTTGAAGGGTTCGGAGATAGAGACCTGCGTGCCAAGCCCGTCGAACTCGTGTTAAAACGCACCCCTTCTGCTTGTGCAGGATGAAGGAATCCCTACCGCAGACCCACAACCGGGTCTCGACTTCTGTGATATACTCTTCTGTGGCTGGGAGCACAGGGGGGGTGCGGGTACTTTTGCACTTCGGAACAGGTCTGGGGTGTGTGGTGAACCCGTCTATGTGTGCGTGCGCACGGGTTGGTTGCTCGGCCCTGGAAACTGCATGTTGCCGCAAAAGCAGCACCGTATACTTCGCTTCGTGTGGCCTCCTCCAGCTCGGCATCTTCTTGCCGTCGTGTAAAATCCAGGCCCCGCTGGGCAGTGCGAGGATCCCTACGCTGCAGGAAGGCTGCCTCGGGCAGAAGTACAGAAGTAAGAGAGGGGCCTAGAGGGAGTGCGAGAGAGGGAGAGAAAGAGAGAGAGAGAGAGAGAGCGAGAGAGAGAGACTAGAGTGAGGGAGAAGGAAACAAACCAGAAGACACGAGACAAGAGCGAAGTCGTGGCCTCCTTCGGCTCATGGAACTCCCTGGACGTGTGGCCTGTAGTTGTGTGGGGCGAGGACACAAGGACAGGATGTTCGATCAGCGATTCACGTGCCGCGTGCCATCCCAAAGGCCTCCAGTAACTTTGCTCTCCCAGAAGCTCGCCAGCGATGCCGGCGGTACAGCGGGTGGGTTCGCGTCACCTGGAACAAGTCCCGTCCCAAAGCAGAATGTCCCAGCATTCCCTTCGCATAACTTCGCCTGCACGGACTGGGGCTGCAAACACCGAATGCACCAGGCGGCTCAGGGCAGCAGCAGCTGCTGCCATAGGCCTGCGAAGACTGAGGGAGGACGGAGAGCGCCAAAGAAGGCTTTGCGAATCTTTGCAAACTCCGTTCAAACTGTTCGGAAGGGCTTCCGCTCTGGGCTCCCACGCCCTTCGCTGGGAGGAAGAGTCGTAGTTCTGTGCGCCTGAAGGTCCTCTTGCAGGACCTGGCGCCCCAAACTGTGGAAGAGGGTGCCAATCGAATTGGGGCACCGAACCGGAACAGTGCCCCCGTTGTGCCTGCTTGATGTCCTTCAGCTCGGCAGTTGCCTCGCGCAGCAGCTTGGCCTCGATGCGTGAAGGACCAGCTCGTCAACTGCTTGTCAACTCAACCCCAAACCTCTTCGGCCACTTCTTGTCGAAGTTTGACGCGCTCGAGGTCCTTTCAATAATCAAGTTCCAGTTGATATAATTTGATCTGGCTGCCAGCAGTAGAAGCAAGCAGCAGAACCACGTCTGTGTGCTGTTCTTCTCTCCTCGGCACTTCTGGAAGGCACCTTCTCCTTACCGACCAGTGCGAAGGCACCAAAAACCACAACCCATGTTCAGCGCGTTCTTGCACTGTTGCACTACAAGTAGCCTCTTGAAAAATGCACTCCCTGACTGAAAGTGCTCCACCGACTCGATCTTTGTCCGCTGGCGATACTGGTAAGCCAAGAGGTTGCACTCTACGGCCGCGGCCGACGTATCAACGTAATGTAGCTCACATCAGGAAAAACGACAAGAGCTTGGAACGCGGCTGCTTCGCGTGCGGCCTTTGCGGCAACCTCATGCTGGGTAGGCAGCTTGAGATCCTGAACAGAAAACACTGATCCGTTCCATCTGCTGGCAGCGGGTCAGCTTGCCATCGTTTGTGAAGTATTCCGTGCACGCTTCTGTCCTCACTCTGCTTGGCGATGTCATTGGCCTGCTCAACATCGCTCAAAACAGGAAAACGGCTGCAAAGAGCTTCAAATCTTCGCGTGCGGCCTTTGCGGCAACCTCATGCTGGGTAGGCAGCTTGAGATCCTGAACGGCAAACACTGATCCGTTCTATCTGCTGGCAGCGGGTCAGCTTGCCATCGTTTGTGAAGCATTCCGTTCACGCTTCTGTCCTCACTCTGCTTGGCGATGTCATTGGCCTGCTCAACATAGCTCAAACTGGAAAACAGCTGCAAAGAGCTTCACATCTCCGCGTGCGGCCTTTGCGGCAACCTCATGCTGGGTCGGCAGCTTGAGATCCTGAACGGCAAACACTCGTCCGTTCAGTTCTTTCTGCTGGCAGCACGCCGGTCAGCTTGCCATCGTTTGTGAAGTATTCCGTGCACGCTGCTGTCCTCACTCTGCTTGGCGATATCCATGGCCTGCTCAACATCGCTCAAAACAGGAAAAAAGCTGCAAAGAGCTTCAAATCTTCGCGTGTGGCCTTTGCGGCAACCTCATGCTGGGTAGGCAGCTTGAGATCCTGAACGGCAAACACTCGTCCGTTCAGTTCTATCTGCTGGCAGCACGCCGGTCAGCTTGCCATCGTTTGTGAAGTACTCCGTGCACGCTTCCGTCCTCATTCTGCTTGGCAATGCCCATGGCCTTCTCAACATAGCTCAAAACAGGAAAGCCGCTTTAGAGAGCTTCAAATTTTCGCGTGCGGCCTTTGCGGCAACCTCATGCTGGGAAGGCAGCTTGAGATCCTGAAAGGCAGACACCACTACTACTGCTACTACGACGACGACGACTACTACTGCTACTGCTACTGCTACTGCTACTGCTACTCCTACTCCTACTCCTACTACTACTACTACTACTACTACTACTACTACTACTACTACTACTACTACTACTACTACTACTACTACTACTACTACTTCTTCTGCTTCTACTACTGCTTCTATAGACGACTACTACGAGGAAAAAAGTGAGGTGAATACACTTTTTTAAGGTATTCACTATTGCTTTCTTGCCCGTATTTTACTAGCTACACGACATGAAGAAAAATACCATGTTTTATTTATGCTTGTAATCCTAAAGTTGGGGCTTTCACTTAACTTTCGATTAAAAGACGCAGTTTTACAACTAGACGCATTTTTGCTCAATTTTCTTATCTTTTTCATAACAACTTGCTACTTTTGACCTTTCTTTTAGCAATTTTCTTTACAATTTTAATCCAAAGAGCACAGGACAAATGATTTTTTTCGTTTAAATATTCGACCTCATTGATGATACTAATATGCTTGGTATTTTACATGGCATTTTAGGAACTCATCTACTCACTCAGATTTTCCTTTACACTTTCTTTTCGCACACCATTCAAATCTTCGCGTGCGGCCTTTGCGGCAACCTCATGCTGGGTCGGCAGCTTGAGATCCTGAACAGCAAACACTGATCCGTTCTATTTGCTGAGGCATGACGGTACACGCTTCTGTCCTCACTCTGCTTGGCGATGTCCATGGCCTGCTCAACATAGCTCAAACTGGAAAACAGCTGCAAAGAGCTTCACATCTCCGCGTGCAGCCTTTGCGGCAACCTCATGCTGGGTCGGCAGCTTGAGATCCTGAACGGCAAACACTCGTCCGTTCAGTTCTTTCTGCTGGCAGCACGCCGGTCAGCTTGCCATCGTTTGTGAGGTATTCCGTGCACGCTGCTGTCCTCACTCTGCTTGGCGATGTCCATGGCCTGCTCAACATCGCTCAAAACAGGAAAACGGCTGCAAAGAGCTTCAAATCCCGCTTGTTCGAGAGCGGGCCTTTGCGCGAACCTCATGCTCGACAGGCAGCTTGAGATCCTTGGCTCATAGATTTTGCCAAGGTCGAGAATGACCGACATGACATGCCTTACACGGTGCCGCAATGCATGTATGCTTGCGATCAGCCGCCTTGCTTTGATCTTTCTTTTCGGACAGGACCGCATCCTGACAGCTCAACACATGAACAACGCTTTGCAGGGCATGCTTCAAGTCAACTTTGCTCGAAAGCCTAGTAGGCAATCCTACACCTCTTCTAGGAGCTTTTCGTGGTCTCTCCGTGATGTCAATGGATTCCTCACGAAGTTAATGTTCAGGTCCTGTGCTTCCTTCGGCTTTCAAACATAAATCCAACGTGTGCTCGAGATTGATAGCCAAAATCATCCAAAATCCAATTCGTGTGTTCAACGGAGAAACTGCAACCACAAATGTTGGACACCTTGTCGTCTTTCCAATGCCACGGCAAGCCCCTTGCCGAAGGAGGCCCCGCTCAGAATTTGCGGGGGCAGGATCCTCCATTTTCTCTAAGTTTGCAAGGGCAACCAAATCTGGTTTGACGATGTTGGAGGAACCATATCACACAGGAAGTTTTACTTCTAATTCTAAATAGGCAACTTCCTAAAACCCTTCAAAACCCAAGCTGAGTTCATAAAGGATGAACCTGGAGCCCTAGCCATGTGATAAGTATCACCAAGGAGCTAGCCTTCGTGATGCAAATCATAAAGTTTGCAATGTTAAATTCGATAAATCCCTTAGCTCCTTGCGTTGGAGTCAAAGTTGGTTGAACTTCTTTTACGGGCGCCCTGCCATATTTGTGTAACTCTTGTGTTGAATCAGGATTAAGGGATTACGCATTTATTCTGATTGAACGGATGTGGGGAGCTTCTTCCCTACTTCACCATGTCACATACCGCCCTTGTCTGCCTTAGCCATCCAAGAGCCTAACAGGCAGGACACTGCGCCCCTGCCATGTTTCCGCGACATCGAGCGTTTAAAGCGTGACTGCGCGGGACCAAGGCAAGGGTGCTCAAACATTGAGCCCTACAAAGGGTTTAGGGTTTAGGGCTTAGGTTTAAGGTGAGCCCTACAGCCCCTGAACTCTCGACTCCGATGCAGGTGCAGCAAACCCCAGGCCTGGAAGGGATCCTTCAATGATAGTCTCGCAGGTGCAGGCTCCTTGCAGCAAAACGATATGGGCACAGCATGATTTGCGCTTGCGATCTGCACTGAAAACCCTACATACCGTGCGGCACTGGCGAAAGTCCTGGGAAACTGGATCCTTTCCCTTGGTGGTGGCCAACAACTCCTGCAGCACAACTCGCAGAGACATGCCGTGACAGAGCTGCCCAACTGGCAATGCTGCCAACAGCCCCCAATCCTGGAAGGGATCCTTTAACGAGAGGCCTGTCAGCGAAGATTCCTGGCTTGCAGGCATGCACGCCGTATCAATGTAGCAACTGCAATGAGGCAAATGGCACCACACTAACTTTGCAAGCTGCACTGACCGTGTGACACAGGAGCGAGTCCTGGGAAACTGGAGCCTTTCCCTTGGTGGTGGCCGACAACTCCTACGGCACAATTGGCAGTGAGCACAATGACAGACCTGGTGTACGTGGCAAATGCTGGCAATAGCCCCCAGTCCTGGAAGGGATCCTTGAAAGAGAGGCCTGCTGGCGAGGATTCCTGCCAGGCGTGAAAGCATGCGTGTGGTGGTGATGGTGCGATGTGCCATTAAAGATGCCGCGCTGCAACAACTGCAAGGATATTGTGATTCAACAAACAACCTAACTCACTATGTCACTTTGTGCTTACACTGCACTCACCGTGAGACGGTGTTGACCCCTGGAAACTGGTCCTTTCCCTTGGTGGTGGTGGCCGACAACTCCTGCAGCACAATTTCGCAGTAAGCGCAAAGACAGACCTGCCACAAGTGGCAATGCTGGCAACAGCCCCCAGTCCTGGAAGGGATCCTTTGATGAGAGGCCTGTCAGCGAGGATTCCTGCCAGGCTTGCAGGCATGCGCACGGTGTCGATGCAGCAACTGCAATCACACTAACTTTGCAACTATGTGCTTACGCTGCACTGACCGTGCGACACAGGCGAAAGTCCTGGGAAACTGGAGCCTTTCCCTTGGTGGTGGCCGACAACTCCTACGGCACAATTAGCAGTGAACACAATGACAGACCTGCCCCGAGTCGCAATGCTGCCAACAGGCCCGTCCTGGAAGGGATCCTTTAATGAGAGGCCTGCCGGCGAGGGTTCCTGTCGTGATGCTAGGATTGCAAGTCTCGCACCCTCACTTGCAGTGGCGAAAGTCGTGGGAAACTGGTTTCTCTTAGCTCAGCGCATTCTGTTTGTTATTTCACGTGGGGTTCTTCCTAGATGCGACTGACCCTTAATTGGTTGCTTTGAGGCGATCCTTTCACAAACCGTTTTCTTCAGAAACTAAAGCTACTCAACGTGTCTGGATGTTCCCTTTGAACGCCCTTTTTTGAAACCTGAAGGTGCCAATGCGGAAGTCGGTCGCCTTAGTTGCAGATCCATTGAAATCATTGCAGACGGTGCTTCCTTATGCGACACTTTCATAATAAGCTTTTTCTTTGAAAGTGCAATACTTTGGGCAGCGTAGAGGGAGAATAGGCTGGACCGTTGTTGAAAAGGCTGAGCGAACTTGAAAACCGCTTGGCTGTTCACAGGTTGTATTTCAAGTCCAGAATCTCAACACCAGCCCAAAACAGTCTACTGATGGAAAATGCTAAAATCATTGAAACCCAACGCTGCTTTTGATGTCAGATGCAAGCTTGGGCCTGGGACTTTTGGCCTCGGGCCTAGCCTTGTGCGTGCGTGTGTGCACGTGGGGGGAGAGGTGGTTCTGGGGTATTTAGACAAGATCACAAGCTTTCATATGTGCCAATACATGCAGCCTGATGCAACAGAGCTCATTGTGCCTGTGGGCCCAAACGCCCCTTTCTACTTCGCATTTGCGGTGCTTTGCCCTGCTTTGCCGCTGTGCCCCCAGACCGAGGCCTGGAAAGGATCCTTCAATAAGAAGCTGGGCACCGGCTCCGGGTCCTGGGGTCTAGGCTTTAGGGTGGTCTGCTAGGTTTAGGGTTTAGGGTTTAGGGCTTAGGGTCTTTTACGCAACTTAGACTGGGCCCACCCCGTGACCCCGTGATGGAGAAAAGTCCTGGGCAAAGGAATCTTTCCGCCTTGTGCTGGGTGCCAGCTCCTGCAGCATCCGCAGTGAAGGGTTGAGTTGGCCAGAGAGGGCCTGGAAAGGTTCTTTCAACAGAGTCTTGCACCTCTTTCGGCTTTGTGCTGATGGCCGACTCATCCGACAACTCCTACACCCAATAGAAGTGTGCCAGCTTTGCGACAGAAGCAAGCAGGCGCAGGCCCGAGCCCCAGGCCTGAAAGGGATCCTCACCAGGGAGTTGCAAGATGATGACGTTCGCGCGAGATGTGTATGTATACAGATATAAATGCGTATGTAATTTTCATAATATTAAGAAAACAAATATAAATATATATATATATATAGCGAACATATATAATATATAATATACAGAGACGTGTTTTTTACATATGCAGCCAGACGTCCTGCAGCAGCGTCGAACGCAAAGACGCGGTGAGGTCGGGCTCCGGCTCCGCGAGGCCCTGTCCGAAAGAGTGGGAGTTGCTGGAGGCTGAAGCGCCTGGTCCCGCAAACCCCAAACTGAGTTGTCCATAGTTTCCAGTCGGACAGATCCCTCGAGTTCAATGCAATTTGCAACTCTCGCAATATTGATACATGGAAAGATGTGGCGTGAATTTCGTGATCCCAGGGAAACACAACTCACAAACCTTAATTCCTAGTCGTTCACGATTGAGTATGCGCACAATTACCATGACGACGGCTTCTGAAGGCCGTGGTGAAAGCGCCATGATTTGTTCGAATCTTCCAGGGAACCCGCGCAATTAAAGGCCATGATCCCTGTTTGCCATTATGAGAAAACGCACCGAACCTGAGACGCCATTCGCATCCTTACAAACTGAGTAGCTTCCTGTGCCAAACCATGCACGTCACGATCCCTTGAAAACTCAAGTCGCAACCTGCAAAATAATCAGCTTTCCTCATCCTTCCTTTAAATACATCATCACGGCCATGCTCCCTGCAACCTTTGTCTTCGGGACCTGCCTTCGCCGCCGCGAGAAAGCCGATGCTGAGGAGAAGCTGAGCAGGACAGCAGCAGGGCGCGATGAAGAGAGCAAGTTGCTTTAAATCTTCTTAAGCTTCTTTTCGACAGACAGGAGGCCACAAAATTCGGGCCGAACCCGACGCCTTCATTGACCGGGGGCAGCTTCGGAACTCCTCGCTGAGCGAGTGTGTGCCCGGCCTACCCTCCTGGAGCCAAGGTGCAAAGCGGCCAAGGATGACCGAAGGGATTTGGTGGCCATGGTAACAAGTCAGATCATGGTCAGATCCAGATAGAGTGGGCTAAGAGACCTCAGAAAGCCAAATCAGTTAGTGGATACCATTTCCAGTTTCTAACCATGCACACCCCCCTAGGCCACCTGAAGACCCAAAACCATAACAACCTATACCTCAACCCTAAACCATAGGAAAGGCCCAAAACCATAACAACCTATACCTCAACCCTAAACTCACCAAAATACCCATAGCAAGACCCATACCATGGAACCACCTTGAAGATTATTTTATGATATTTCAAAAGCATAAGGATAGAGTGATTATTGAAATTCCGATTGATAATTCTTAAGTATAATGTAGTTATAATCCTTAAGTTGATACAGATTATAACTATATTATGATTTTACGTTATTCCTAAACCTTATTCCTATTGTAGACATTTTATTAGAGAATACCATTTCAATTTTCAAGGGTTCGGGTTTTCGGGTTGGGGAATATGGGTTTTTCTATGGGGATGCGGGTGTATGGGTTTGAGGTTGGGGTTTTTCTATGAGGTGGTGTATGGTTCTTCTGGTGGTTCCATGGTATGGGTGTTTGGGTTGGGATTTTTGGTGAGTTTAGGGTTGAGGTAGAGGTTGTTCTGGTTTTGGGTCTTCAGGTGGGTCTTTCCTATGGGTCTTTCGGTGGGTTTAGGGTTGAGGTATAGGTTGTTATGGGTTTGGGTCTTCAGGTGGCCTCGTAGAAAATGGAAATGGTATTCACTGACTAAATCGTGCAACAATCCGAGACCTCGGAAAACTGCACCACGGGTTTCTTGAAGTCTTGCGACATGTTGTGCTTCACATCTAGAGTCTAGAAGTAAGTGAGAGATCCTAAGCCGTGTGTGAAACGCTCTGGCCATCTCTGGCCTGATTCCAACTTGTTCGATACCTCGAAGTGAGACGTCGGGTGAAACGATGCCACCCTTTCTCAACGGTAGGCTCGCGGAGCTGCTCTAGCGCTGCATGGTGGAGGGTGCGCCTGGCGAAAAAAGTCACATGAGTGTCAGGCGGGAAAAGGTCTGAACGGGCCTGACGGGGCGCTCTGATTGCTGCCCGATCCGCGCCGTGCGGGAGCTGTGCCCGGCGCTGTCCCACCACAGGGCCTGGGCCCACCAATCAGCCAAGTTTACATGCCATTGATCAATGACATTGACATCGGCACAATCGGCACTCAGGTCAAAGCCCGTGCCCTTCTCGTGTCCCATCTTTGGCCGTAAGGCTGGACAGAGGGCCAAGCGGGCTTTGCGATAGGGACAGCCCTGGCCCTTGCAAGGGCCCCAAGTGCATCCCGACGCTGTGTGTTGGGAGCTGCTCGTCCTGCACACCATGCACGCCGTCAGTTCTGAAGCGCGCAACAGGAAATGTGCAACAGAATGCTTGAAGCTGAACAATAAAGCCGCTCTCCTGACCCGAGGTGAGGCGGCGCGTGGATTGCAGCGGCCGGGTCAGCAGCATCGGGTCCTTCTCAAGTGGGGAGCAAGTACGGCCAGCAAGAAAGAACGGTCGGATGAGCATTGGTGTCAAAAATGGTTTTGCCTCCTCCTCCACTGGGGTGCGGCGTCCTGAGCTGCAGAGTCGTTCGCAAGCCGCTAGCTTGGCGTATAGCCCTGCAATGTCGCCCGCCTGGCTGTCGCATCTGAGACCTCAGAGTGCGGAGAAGGGAAGGGATGGAGAAGGCGAGGAAGGAGAAGGAGTACAGCCTTGCAAAACACTCCACCTCCCCGGGGCCCAGACGGGCGCAAAGGCCGATCGCGCTCTGTGGCAGCCCTGCAAAGTCTTGAAAACAAGGCAAACAACCGAGGCAAGAACGGAGCTCATCACAAGCTGTTGGGGTCGCCACCGGCCCCGTGTCTTTTCCTGGAAAGGCAGCAGTCGGCACACCAGGTCGCTAAGATACATAAGCGATACGGCTGCCTTGATGCAACATGCCCAGCTATGCTTTGCTAAAATCCGCCGAGCGCAGACACCAAACTCGGTGTTTTCCCTAATTTTCCGACCTCCCCCCCTTTCACCCCCACCCGCCCCCCCCCATGTCACAACATGCTCCCTCTCGTTCGACGTTTCATGATGTTTCCAGCCTTCCGCCTCCCACTCTACTTCCCCTCCTCCAATGGAATTGGGAGAGCAATGGCAGCGGAGAAGCATTACAATGCACACGTTGAATCGCTAGAGTACCCTACTCACTCTACTCAGAAGCAGCAGCTACATGTGCACTCCTGGCCAGAGAGCCGCCTGTGGCCTCCCGGGCGCCATCCGGCATCCTCATGCGGCCAAAAGATTCAAAGCCGAGCACGAAACATCGAGGGTTTCAGCTGCTTCTGAATTCTGAATTCAACTCCATGTACTGTTGGAATGACCAGTGGTGCCTTTGTTAAGACTCGCTGTTTACCCGCAGGGCAGCCCTGCAAAATGCCTTCCCAGTAGATGTCCGTGGATGTTGCCTGCTGTTTCTCACCTCCTCCGGGACTCTGGAAAAGACATCAGCCGCGTAGCTCCTTCTTTTGGTAAACCGTCTAGTTATTGCTAGTGTATATGTTGGCCACATGCCCGGAGTCAGAGTGGGCACCAGCTTCACGCACCAGCAACTAAAGTTCTTCAGGAAATCAGTCTAGGATCTCGTGAACAGCCCGGCCAGGTGTGGCTGCCCAATCGACCAAGGACGACAGTGTTGAACATGTCCGGCAGCCCGTTTCATCGATTCGTCGGAAGCTTGAGATCATCATGGCTACTAAGGCGCCGGCGGTTGAAGCACTCACAGCCCCACCTGTGACACATCAGGATTTGTGTCGCCCAGTTAGAAAATGCCCAACGAGAGCAGGATTCTCATAGAGGTTTACATGTAGTATACTGGCTCTTCATGGGGAATTAATCGGGGTCCCCTCGAAAATCCGGAAAGGGTTTAAAGGAGTGTAGCGGTGCGCCAGGCGCATTATCCCGGTGTTTAACAGCCTGGGCGGTGATTAACTCCCAGGTTGCCACATCTGGGCAATTTTGGGCTTGACATTTACCCGTACCAAGTGTCCCTCCTGCCTCCTGTCACACAAAGCCCTCGAGGTGCGCAGCCTCCAAGTGCTGTGGAGCCGAAGCAATCGTTAAGCATGCTTTAGGAGAGTAAGTATATAATGGATTAACGATTTTTGTTAAAGCTGAATGCGCTCTTGAGATCTCTTTTGAGCACTTGGAGTGCGCACTTGAACCGTGCAGTTTGCCAGGCTTCCTGTGCCTCCAGCAGTCGAGGCCTGTGACCCAGAGAGCACAGCCAGGTGACCCTGCGCCGTTACACCTGAACAGATCCACCCGGTGCCCACACTTTCTGCACACCAGCGATTCTCGGCTTCTCTTGGGAGTGCAGGGCCTTGAGGGTCCTCGGCACGACCTCACCAATGGCAGTTTTGGCCCCAAGCCAACCACAATGGCATCTTTGAACTTTTCTGCTCTCAGCGTCGGGCGCACCCTCGGCCGTGCCTGGCCGACCAGGCGCCAACAATAACCAGTGTTACGTATATCCGAGGAGAAGAGCAACGGGTGGACGGATGCATCACAGCACCTCCTCATCCTCGACCCAGTACTGCGCCGCGCCTGCATCGGCTACAAAATGAAAAACAACAAATATCAGCAAAGGGTCAGGCGGAGGCCAGGTCCTCGGGGAATCCGCATATCTGGACTTGACCACCTGCCGAAGGAAAAGCACACATGCGTCATTGCCAGTGGCATTCGCCCTTTTTCTGGGTCGGGGGGTGCAGCCAAGGAGCTGCTCGGGACTGAGGCGTACCACCGTCAACGGATCGAACCTGCACTCAGAAAACCACAGTCGAGCTTTGGCTTGTGTTAACTTGTGTTGCGTTCCGAAGATGCTGGTCCTCCGCATTCTGCATCCCTTCTGGGCCTTGCGTCCTTGTCCAAGCGCGAGTCGAGGCGAGGGTCCACGGAGCGGGCGCGGTGCGGAGCGCGCAAAGAGCGTCGGCCCTCAGCAACCAGACAACTACAACAACGAGCGATACGCAGGTCAGGTCATGCGTCTGCGGAATGCCTGAAAGCTCAAGAGCTGTATTGTACTCTTATGAGCGGTGATCACATTCATCACGTTTCCTAAAAGGCGTGGGCACAGGGGCTTACCATGCGACGTGCTTTTGAAAACATAGACCGACGTCAGGCAATGCGCAGGCGAATGAGGCACGATCTGGTTCCGGGCATTGCAACGACTGTGAGGCAAATGGATGGCGATGGTCACGAGTCACTTGCAATAGGGTGACATATTCAGAACCAAAAGCATGCTGGCATAGCCCCAAACAGCGTGAAGCAACTTCAACAGCCCAAGGGCCCAAATGCAACGGCAGTTCTGCACTTTACGCACAGTACCAAGGAAGGAAAGCCCGGTTTTCGAACACCGCGAGAAAGACAAAGCGAGCCGAGCCCATCCAAGAGTACGAGGACGCAGAAAAGTCCGTCGTTGCCCCATTTTCGCAATACGGAGTGATGTGATGCCTCAAAAAGCACACGGGACCGCTGCAGCAGGGGCGCAATTTGGGCCATGGAATGCGCGCGGGACCTGCTACGTCGAGGGACGCCGAACTACCCCTTAGTTACTTCGGCCTCACGTGTGCGCTCGCCGTGGTCCGTGGTCATTCTATGAGCACGTGTCACGTGCTTCAACCGAGTCCTTTGCCTTTTTGTCGGCCACCCCAGGAACCGAGATAGGCAGCCCCGACACGAGACACATAAAGTTCCAGCAACGCTGAGCAGCTGGAGTGCGGCGCTGGGTCCTTTGAGGCCCGAGCGCCTGGGCTTTGTGGGAGAGGGCTGCTGGACACGCCGCGGCCCGCGGGGTCGGTGGCGCCAGCCACAGCTGCAACCTCCTCACCTCCAGGGTTCAGGCAGCTGAGTGGTAGCACGAAGAGTATCAACATCAAAGCCTAATTTCCCCTAATGGTTGGTAATTATGACCCTTTGTCGTGGCTAGGTTCCGCTGTCCAGCCTGTCTCCCTCCCTGGCTCTGTGGGCTTCTCCTCACGGTCATCCTCCTTGCCTGCCAAGAAAGCTCATTGAAATTCGGGGTCGCGGCTCTCAGCAAAAGATCCTCCATACAGTCTCAGGGCCTGCAGCAGCAGACTTCCCATTGCGTTTCGGAGCTGCCTCGGTGCCGGAAGCTTCCGACAGCTCTCTTCATCCCCGCCCCTCCCCTGTAATGGTAAACAGTATACGAAGAAACCCTAAACCCTAAACCCTAAACCCTAAACCCTAAACCCTAAACCCTAAACCCTAAACCCTAAAGGGCCTTTCTATCAGCTTATGAGGGAGAAGGAGGATTCATCTTCAAGGGCAGCGGCCTGCGCCGCATCCTTGGAGGGCCCCTTGCGCCGGGCCTTAAGAGCTTGCAAGGGAAGTAGGGTTTGGGGTTTAGGGTTTAGGGTTCGGTTTGGGGTTTAGGGTTTAGGGTAGAAGCAGGAGACTTGAAAGGTGCAGAACTTCAGAGAACAGACAGATACCATTTGCTGGGCAAGTGCTGGGCATCTGGCTCCAGAGCTCGGAGAAGTCACGGACCCACCGGATCCGGCTCCAGCTCCAGCTTCCTTTTTGTGGGGGCAAAATTTGGTTCATTTTCCCCTGTTCGCCTAATCATCTCACATGGCACCTTGGGTCGTACACGTTCCTCTTCATCCGCATCGTCCCCGTCGCTGTCCCCTGTACACGCACGAGGGTTGGAGGTAGCGGAAAGGTGCTGGTGAAAGACGACCGTTGCTAAGTTGAACATGTGAAACAATATCTTTCCGTACAAAAACCTTGAGGGACTTAGTCAATTCCGCCGAGACAAGGTGTATAGAACATGGCCGTCATTGAGGCGGGTCACGAGCAACGGCCCAAAAATAAAACCAAAAAAAACCCCCCCCCCCCCCCCCCCCCCCCGCCCCCCCCCCCCCCCCCCGGAGTTCCCCGCTTGACGAATCCCCACTTTTCAACCACCAGCCCTGTCGTCTCCTCCTCTTGCTTGCACACGCACACACACACATGCGCAAAATGCATTTCTTGTATTCCTTGCTGAAGACACTGTGAGCCATCACCATCATCACCGTCACCACCATCATCATTACCATCGCCAAAGACGGCCATATTCACCTACAGTATCATCTCATTTATCTTCTTCCACTTCACATCTCGTCGTGCAGAGCATGTACCAGAGTCTTGGCAAGCCCATCCCAACACAAAGTTTCTGTTCTTGGTATCGAGACCATGAGCTTGTGAAGTCCAACAGCCTACGGGCACGGCTAGAGTATTTTGCGTCGTGGAAAAGAAAAGAGAGAAGATCAATGACAGGATGCGAATGAAGCGGAGGCAAACCTCCGTCATCACTGCCGTCACCACGCGTCAGCCGTGCCAGGTCAGGCACCACTTCGCCGTAGGTTGCCAGCAAACCTGTGCAACACGTGCCATGTCCCGACCAACCAGCGCCAAGCACGAGACATTCCCACAGAGTTTTGAACCCTTTCAAGACCGAGGACGGCTCTTTCCAACACGTCGCCCGCTGTGATGGAATCCAAGACCTGTCATACGCAAGAATTGGCTCGGCAAGTTCTGACCCAAGATGGACATGATCATCCTCAACTTTCTTACAACACTTGGGCGGGCCTCTGTCTGAAACCAAGGCCTGGCGGTGAGCACCTGGGTGCACAATAGCGTGCTGACCGCTGCCAGCATCTGCAAGCATCTCCGGGCCATGTTCTGTGGTGCTGTCCCCCGCAAGGCCCTGGCGCGTGGGCAAGAGAGGTCCAGCAAAAGGCCCTCGCAGGGGCAGACCTCCCAAAGGCCCAGGTGCCAAGTGGACGAGCTGGCGATTAACCGTGCATGATTCGGCTGAAGTGCCGCGCTCTTCTCAGGGCGCATCCCTCACGTGCCTCTTGAAGCTCCCGTTCCCCTGGACTTCCCGGAGCGAGAGGAGGTCGAGGTCGCGGGCCTTTCAAGAGCATCTCGCTGCATGCCTCTCTCTTCAGAATCACGCTCCGTTCTCTCACAGCTTCTTTGCAAGCGAGGTCAAGAGAGGGCAAGTGGATGCAAGTGGTGCCTGCTGCAAGTTGAGCCTCCTCCTGAACCTCGCTGCCCAAGGCGTCCAAAGCGAGGGGATGTCGCTCCCGAGGGCCTGAGTGGCTCACCGTGTGCAAAATGGCAGCTACCCCGACTGTTCTTCTTTCAGCTCAAAGCACGGACTCTTCGTGGAAGACAACATCTGCACACTTGGCAGCACCCTCTTTCCATCCGCAGGACCCCGACAGGCTTTGGCAACAGCGCAGAGGTCCACGTTGAAAAAGAGGGCCAAGCCGCAGCCAACCGCGCAGCCGATCTTGGAAGAAGAGCTCTCTTCCATCACAAAGCACAAAAACTCCTCAAGTTGACAAGCCGCTGCTTTCCGAAGATGTCTCCAGGGCTGCGGCGAACTCGACCCTGGATGGTGTGAAGTAGCCCTCCGAGCCCTCAGTGCCTAACGGCAGAAGGCTGTGATATTTGTGATATTGTAGCTTCTCAGTAGCTTCGGGAATTGGCGAAGGGGGGTGCCTGTGTCCACCGGCGCGAAGAACGAGCACTGCGCAGCACAGGAGACGGGTTGGTGAGTCTTCATATATATATATATAAGTATATATATATATATAAGTATATATATATATATATATATATATATACATATACATGTACATGTACATATACATATACATATACATGACATATACATATACATATACATATACATACACATACATACATATATATATATATATTGTTTTTACATATTTTTCGCGTGAGTGGCAAATGGCGCGAACAAACTCGCAAACCACTCGCATGACCTCGATGGTGTAGGTGTACTTGACCCCGAACTGCTTGTAGACCACGTAGCCTCAGCAAGGACGTGGGCTTTTTGACGCGGTCCTCTCGCATGCTTCACATTTGGCGTATGCCATCGGGGTAGGCCTTGGAGAGGACGCGCAGGGATATGTGAATGCATGTGATTGCAATATGGCAGATGTGTGCTTCGGGGATCCACATGTGACCGTGAGCCTCATGAGCTCTTTAATTTGAGGCTCTGCAGGCTACGCAAGGCGTACAAGGGTCCCCCCCTGAACCGGGACTTGGGTTTTCAACTCGAGCGATTTTTCTCGTACTCGCGCTCTCCTTTTGCTGCCATTTGATTGCAATTAGGTGCATGGAGCTCGTGTGGTCGTCACAGTTGCTGCTGTCGAAGGTGTCGGAGTTGGACTATCAAAAGACAGCTTGACAATTCACTACCTCAACGTGGGCCGGCTAGGTTACAGGCTGTGGATGGCTGTGGGCATGTGGCTGCTAGGTCGAGGCAGGGTTCGCCAGCCAAGCCCCCCCCCCTTTTGGGGCTCCGGCGCGCCGTCTTTCGGTGGGAGCGCGTGCACCGCCAGTGGCATTGCCTGGGCAAGATGCAAGTAACATTTCGTTAGGTGGGCCGGTATGGCCCAAAAGCACGTCTGGAACTGTTCTCTCCTCTCTCGGTGTCGGGGCGATCGCTCAAAGCTAAGGTCCGTAGAGATCGAAGAGCACATCTTCGGAAAGACTGCGTTGGATATGTGCGCCTTGTCCAGCAGAAAACAACACAGCTCCGTCAGAGCATGTGGCATTCACTATACATACATACATACATACATACATACATACATAAATACATATACATATGTATATGCATGTGGCGTGTGGAGGGTATTCAGCTTGCGGCCGTCGGGTTTGACCCGTAGAAGAAGCAGCCAAACCTCAGAGCGCGCCGCGCGCCACTGTTTTACACCTTTTGTTTTCTCCCACCAGTTCACCAGTAATTCACCTTTTCCTCAACACATGCGCTCAAAAATCTCACAACCATACTCTTGGAACGTTGATCTAGGCGACGGACTTGGCAGAGTGGCCATGAAGGTCCAGGAACATCTCGAGACCCCGCACTGAAGACGAAGAGCTTCCACCCCCTTGCGGTGTGCTCCACGCACGGCACCGGCTCTAAAGCAGGAATGCTTCCAGCCTACGTGGTGTGTAGCCGCCGGCTGCAGCCCCTGAAAGCTCAGATCTTGGAAATCTGCTCATGAGTTCAAAGAAAACTCAGCACTGCCTGCCCTGGGCCAAGGTGCCTGGGAGAGACTGCGCAGATGATTCTTCAGGGCGAAGATCACAGGGTGCAGGATTGGATTCGGATCGTGCCTCAGATCTGACATCCCGCGATTTGTTGTGACTTATGTGACTTGGCCCTCCTTCGAAGAACTTCCCTCCTGAGCTTGCAGCCAAACTCTGTTGGGATCGACCCCAGCAAGTGTGCAGCGAGAGTTTCCGTGCACCACGCCGTCCACATTGACCATGGGAACGACCTAAACGCTTCCAAAAAAAGACGTGAGATGAAGTGAGCAACGCATGCATGTGATGGACTGGCGAGGGTCAGGTGTGCCAGCGCAGAATTGCAGAGAAAAGTCGTGGACTCTTGCTAGCCACAATTCGTGGTGAAAACACCGACATCGCTGGACCGCACCCTGCACATCGGATAGTGTCAGTCGTGCACAAGGCCCCGGCATGAAAGAGATAGACCTCACCTCGCAGTTCACAGCAAGACTCTGGCGTGCCCTGCCCTGCTCTCCACTTCCTGCCTTTGCTCTGGGAGCTCTTATAATTATAGTATACGTCTACAAGATGAGTTCTTGATGCATTTATCGCAGACGCAGGTTTGGGCTTCTACAGGCTTCCCTTTGCGAGTATGTGAGTGGGAGCACCGTCTACCCCGCGCGCGCGCGCGCGCGCGCGCGCGCGATCCCGAGACGGAGGCAGGACGGCAACGTTAGAGGGTTTGGCGGGCACCGGCCACGCACTCCGGGACCGTCCCTTTGGCTGTCTCAAACCTTGATGGAAGCAAAGGCTTGTAAGGATGGCTACATACTAGGCGGGCACTTACCGGTGAGCTCACCTCCTCGTTTTCCGTTTGCACCCTCGTAAAGGAATGGTCCTTGCTGCAACACGGGCACAAACCTACCAGTAGGAAGTGCTTGGGAAGCGTACAGGTTTGCCCTGCCCTCTTCCCGGGACAGCCCCGGGATGAGCACCGGAACGATTGCACTCCACAAAACTCCCAACAAGTTAAGCACTGCCGCCACGGCAATCCAAAGCAAGTTCCAGTGCTCATGAATCCGGATGTGAGCAACCGAAGCCGTTCCGACGCCACCACTGGTAACTCCAGTCCACACAGCTAATGAAGTCAGACCAGTTGCTCTCGATCGAAAGAACACACTCAAGGACCAGGACTGGAGGGAGAAAAGCCCGATGTGTTTGAGGTTGGCACGGCGCTCAAGGAATCAGAGCGGCCTCGAGCCAAGGCATCAGTGCCGTCACGCTGTCTATACACCACACGCCCCCCCCCCCCTCTCCGCTGGGGAAACTGCTCCAACTGAGCAATTTTGTGGTTTCCCGGGTTAAGCACCCACAGACCGAGGCATCCACAGTGGCCACAAAGGAATTGCACCCTGCGGGCAAATGGAACCCCCCCCCCCCCCCAGGCCCTTTCCCTCAAACCTCCCTCAGCTGGGTCGCGAGCAGCCACGAAACGCCGGCTCGGCAAGAGCAGGGAACAATTGGAGTTGTCTGGCTTAGAACTCCTCAGCACAGCTTGGATGGTCTCCAAGCGCATGTTCGAAGCTGCTCCTTCACCACGGGTTCACGTTCGCACTGATGAGATTCGACGGCACTCAGCCCACAAGCCCCCACCCGTATACACCAAGCACGAGGAAGCTGAGGATGCCGTACAGTTTGGAAGCGAGGACGGGAGCCCGAGCAGGAGATGAGATCGACCATACCGGTGACTTTCTGCTGAAGCCGCGCGAACGGACGAAAAAGAAGGCTCGGGCACACTTTGCGAATGTCGCATGATGCCATGTCGGGCCAAGCTTTGGGAGTTGACCCAAAAACGGCATGTTGCTGCAGCATTTTGCTTGACAGCCAAGGTCGTCGACGCCCAGTCTTTGTCTTCCAACCAGCTGTGCCAAACTTGACACAGCGGGTATGGGCTCTGGCATGGGACGCCGCGGGACAAGGACGCCAGGCGACGAGCGCGTGGGTACTTCTGCATGATTATGGATGGGCGGGTCGGTCAGGTTTGCGATGGCTGTGACAGGTCCAAGGTCGACAGGAAGGCATGTTCGCTGGGCACCGGGCGCAGGCACCGTGCTGCGGGCGTAGGCCCCAGCAAGAAGCGCAGAAGGCCTTGCACGGCCCACGACCTAAGCCGTGAAGAAGCGATGCAAAACGAACACACGAAGACGAACGTCAAGCCTTGCTCAGATAGAGCTCACAGTGCTCCAACATGTGCGTCACTGTGTACACGTCTTCCTTTCTTCAGGTCGCCGACCCGACCACCTCTCCTGGATGTTGGCGTGCAGTGATTACGATGGCGTACCTGTCTGTCACATGCACACACACACACTCACACTCGCACACACATGTGGAACCTCCCTGATTCGCGAGATGCCGATTGTACGCATTCCACGCATGCTGCGCGTCATCTCTCATGGGCTCTTTGAGGCGGAGGCTTGGCTTTGGCCTTGGACCTCGGCAACATGAAAATCCAATTCCAAGCCGTTCGAGGCGCCTGCGCAAGGCTGCTGCTCGTCATCGCCCTCCGCCTCCTCCGTCCGCAGGCCCTCCAAATTCCAAGTAGATGCACGTGGTACTCAGCAGAAAATTCTCAGCATATGGTAGTTATTCACTCGTTGTCTTGTCTGTGCCGAAAACAACCCTCCGCCTGGCTGATGGCCAGCAGCGGCACAGGGAGCTGGCCGATGGAGTGACAGAGCTCAGCGCGCACAAAGTGCGCCCTCTTCCGGGTTCATGGGCTCACAGGAAGAACATGCAGAACATGAAGGCCCAATATGGTCCAATGACAACTTTGGGAAATTTGTCCCACACTTCCCACTTCAGATCAGACATCCCTCTCAGCCTGGCAGCGGGCTCTTGCTCAAGACAAGACAGGAAACTCTGCATCATGCCTTAGCTTGGCAGCCTCAACACAAAGTGGCTTGTTTGTTTGTAAAAGTTGGGATGTTCCCCCTTATGCTAGCAGTCCTTAATGGGGATTGTAATGAGGGGTACTATAATCCCCATTGAGGACTGTCAGTATAACAGGGAACGTCCCAATGTATCAGGCTCCCGGACTGTAGGTGTAGGGTGGGTAGGCCGCGAAGAAGAGTTCATCCTCCTTGCGCTCGATGCCTCGATTCGCGGTTCTTTGCACTTATGGGCCTCTTCCCTCAGCACGTGTCCATCATCAAACGACACTTTGCATAGAGTTTGTACAGAGGGCTCTACTGCCTTATAGGAGCCACCGGTGGCCCTGTCTCAAAGACGCTGCAAGTTCCAACCGTCAGGATGTAAGAACAAGGCAGCAGGCGTCGTGAGGCGCAGAACAAGGGCGACTGCTTTGAATGCGATGAATTGCCATGCCGGTGCCTCCGCGAACCTCCTGCTGCCTTTTTTTCACATTTCGAGGCCCTGCTCCGTCATCTGGTGGTTGTTGTGTACAGTGCCATGAAACATGAAATACGCACCAGCTTTATTATATGTAGCAACACGTTGGAGGCCCTTCAGATGTTTCAATAAGCGCATGCTTGCTTTCTGTCTTCGGCACGTTTCTGACAGTCTTCAGCCTCCGGCTCCAAAACCATGCGCACCCTCTTACCTCACCCTTTTCAAGACTGTGACGTCATCCATTGCCTTTTCGGGTGCGCCCCCACAGGTGCGAAGGTATGTTGCATTCGAGCTTGGAGCTGCGGCACAGACCCCTTACATCTCATCCTTGGGGCGAGTAAAGGCAGCAGCTTGACATGGAGTGACTTAAGTCACGCCATCGTGCGTGAACTGGCATCATCAAAGCGTTTCAAAACTCCTCTTGCAAAGCCTTTCTGAAAACCATATGGCAGCCTCGGGCCTTTCTACGGTTTCTTCGACACGCGCTCACTGCGCCTTAGGCTAAAGCGGACTAAGGTGCGAACCCTGCGAATGCACGTTTGCAATAAGGAATTATGTACTTCTTGCTGTTTCCTTTGAATGCCAGGAATAGCTCTACTATTGCACCACGTGCTGCGATGTGCTGCTGCCAGCTGTCCTGCCAAAGTATGCAAAAGATCACAAAGCCCCGTCAATTGAGTTGCGGGCGATAGGACCATTGCAGTGTGTGAAAATCCTGGGTACAGGAGTGCGCTGCGTCGAGCTGCAGCCCAAGCACTGCAACACCAGCGAGGACCGAGTCCACGACGCCACGAAGCCCTTCCCTGACGAGCATAGGTGCTACTTAGGTATATAGGGACTATATAAGGTGTATATATATATAATAGGAGAATGAGATTCAGGTTCTCTTCCGGGGTCCCTTCTTATACCCCTGAAAATCAGCAGCAAGAATAAACCCTACGTCTGCCCGGAGTTGTCGGCGAGTCGTGCGGGGCCCCGGCTTGTCCCCTCTCTTGGCGCTCGGGGAATAGCTGACTCCCTCCAGAAGTGTGTAGGGTGCCGGCCGCAGTCCCTACATCTCTTGGGATCTTCCCACTTACACTAATAGTCCTTATCCCTATTAATTAAGGACTGTTAGTGAAGGGGGAACATCCCAGTACATCTGACATAAAGTTCTGTGAGACCGCCTGGCACACAAAGGGCTCCCAACCACGGTGCTTCTTCCGCGCGGAGAACACGAAAGGCTGGAAACCCTGACGAGCACAACTGCATCCCCTGCGCAGCCACGTCCCCCAAGCCTTGATAGCTGCGAACGGCTGACTTTAGCAGAGCATTTTCCTTGTTGTTACATGTCCGGTAAGTTGCTACGCTAAATACACCAATGCATCAACAAATGCATAGAGACACACAAACAAAGATATACTTCATCTCGGATGCGGAAACTTCTGCTCTTTCAAACTTAACCAGGCTTTAAGTGACAGGGAGCTGGGGATTCAGCTTTCGAGCGCACTGGGTGTCCTTGACAGTGTGGGTATGCACACATTCTTGGCCCCTCGCCTGCTGGTACAAGGACTTCTTTTTGCGAAGGTTCACGATGCGAAACTGGACGGTCCCACACCAGCCACCGTTCCTCGCCAGTGAGAACGTTGGGTGCAAATCACTCCCAAAAGATGCAGCATAAAGGGCAACATATCACGATCGCATTTTGCCATCGACCAGCTGTTCTTGCTCAACACTGGTATGCGCAAAGCACTCTTACCGGTACGGCTGTGCACGCACTTTCGCCCCGCAGGCAGCGCTGGTAATAAGAATGCGCAGGAAGGCAAACGGAGGAGGAGCGAGGCTAGTCTTCGCCTCATAAGCCGGCACATTGATCCACACGATCCATGGTCACGAGTGTGGGAAAACAAGATGAAGCATGAAGAAGACCCGGGATACACAGGGATGATAAGAGCTGAACATAGCTGAACATACTGCAAGGATATCCCGAAAGATCGGAAAGTGTGTTCCGTGGCGGGCTGGCAATCCGTGCCCAGTCTACTCCGGCAGCTGTTGCAAGCTGAGTCCTGACGGAGAAGTAGAACCACTGCGTGTGCCCTTGGGCGCTCTGGGTGTCTGCATCCACCATCAGCTCGTACCTCGAAGAGAGCGTGCCACAGGACCGTAGACGCAGAAGCGTCAAGCAATAAAGCCCCTTCATCATCAAGCCCAGCAAACTCAGCTAAACTAAACCACACTAAACTAAACTAAACTCGACGTTCGACCAAAAGATCATTCGATTGAATTCTCGTCTTTTCCTCTCCTCAGGCAGCGGCTCTAGGTCCGGGCCCTGAGGCGCCGCTCCTGGTAGAAGGCCACCTTGCACGCGCGAATCAAAGCGCGCCTTATACTTTCTGAGGCGCAGATGCAGAAAACGTGACAGGTCATTCACTGACACTGCGTCTTCACGGATTTCAATTACTTTTGGTTGATGAAGGATACCTGCATCCCGCTGTCCTGCTCACTTCTTACACTTGTTTTCGCCTGAGTGCCGGGCTCTTCGAAGGTGCACTTAAGACCAGCTTTGCAGTGAGCAGGTTCCCGCACTCGAAGTGCGAAGCGAAGCGCAACCTCGAGTTGGAGTTAGTGTCGCTTTTAGTTGGCCTCGTCTTGTGAACTTGCTGACCCTGCTGCGCCAACAAAGTTCACATATTACGTTTCCCACATGCCCTTGTTGAGTTACGTACATTGTGCAATGTCACAATTCGACGTGCTGAGATGTCAACCCCGCCTCCTATAGTCGTGACACTAGTAGTGTGAACAGAAAAACGCCCCTCCCCGCTACCTCAACACACGCATCCGGTTGCTTGTTCAAGGGGGTGAGGTGCATGCTCAATACAGGGATCCTGTGACATCTTCTGGGGGTCCGAACGGCCCGTCAGCAGTGACTCGTCGCGCCAAAGGGGGCGGGGCCTTGTCGCTGCCTTCCAAGGAATCGGGCAAACCACATCGTCACACGTCTCTTGTGGTACACTGACAGGAAATCCACAGCACCCCGCACGAATCTGGGCCTCTGTCCAGCGCTGGGGCCACTGTGGGCCCTGACCAGGGCCTGCAGAGCAGCACTCGCAGAGCAAACAAAAGGACTGGAAAGGAGGGCCGAGGGCCTGCCCTCCTCCAACTCGCTGGTCTGGCGGACGAGCTCTGCCAGCATGGAGCGGCGCTGCGCGATCTCCTGTGCCGCCAAAGGAAAGAAGGATGAAAAAGGCAGACACGCGCATCACTGAAGAAGCTGTCCTCGGGGGTCTTGCGCTGGAAGACAGTGCGCAGTGCCTTGGACTCCTTGGATGGCTCTTCGCCTCAAACCAGACAGCCAGACAGCCCCCCATTTCCTCTGGCAACATGCTGAGTATGTCAAATCTCTGCGGCCTCCATCGCGGGCTGGCGAAGCCTGAAAGAGTATATGTGTCCGCGAAGTCTTGTACCCGTTACCATTCTCGGAGTCTTTAGCCCAGAGGCAAGTCTGAACCGACTCAGCTCGCAGCGCTGCGGCGCCCCGTCCGAGCACTCATCGAATGCCGTCATGAGCTTTGCGGGAGTTTCTCATCGTCCCGCCATCGTGGGCCATGGATGCCGCGATGGCCCGCGCAAGCTAGTCAGCTAGTCTGAGTCTGTTCAACTCATGGAGTTTTGCCAGCACTTGTTTCTTTTCTTTCCGCGCTCTTGGCTGTTGCTAATGTTGCTGTGATCGGAAACTCGGAACTGGCACTTGTGTGTTCTGGATGACCCCGCTACGCTTGGAAGGGCATGGGTAGGCAATAGCGAAGGCTAGGGCCGGCTAGGGAAGGCTTTGCAAGCTGTACCTGGCACCTGCAAGGCTAATTCGGGCTGTGCAATTTCCCGTGACTTACTTTGGCATGTGGTGTTCTGATCCTTGATTCAACATGATTCCCCGCAGTCAGAGTTCTCAGTCGTCCACCTATGACGAAAGTCTACGAAATCATCACAGCTCATTGGCCCCGTACCCGTAGAGGTTCGTGGCAGCAGCCAGCTCTTTTGTTCACCCCTCCAGCATCTTCGCACTGTCCTGAACTATCCGAATAGCTGTCTGGATCGCATTTAGCTGCCGGGATCGGGCTTTGTAGGCCCTGGAACTGGGACAATCATGCCGTGCCTCAGTGGCCGAAAGATCTTGACTCTTGACTTCTCTTTCCATCTTCCCGTCTCTTGCAAACTTCCAGAGAACCCAGGGGAGCGGCTCTCAAGCGGGGAGGCCCCAAGCCAGGCTGCAGGCGGCGCACCCGAGCGGCTAACAGCCTTGGAGGCCCGGTGCGTAGGCGGCGCAGCACCGGCCCAGCTGCTGGGCGGCACCTGCCCCAAAAGGAACTATCTGCATAGCTACGCCGCAGTAAATGGTGCTACATCGAAATTCCAAGCCCAGCACCGTGGGACGCCGCACCTGCTGCCAAGGCCAAGATAGGATAAGTGCAGGCCCCCACAACACTCAGCGAGGCCGAGGTAAAACTTTCCATGCCTCCTGTTGGTGCTGCTGTCCTGAACAAATCCAGCACGGACTCCCGTTGATATCTTATCATGCAGTGTCTGTTTGATTTCTCTCTCCTGCAAGTTCTCCCGTCGGGCTGCGCACCTCTCCATCTCACAAGCACTGCCGGACATCACAAGCCCCAAGTCGGTGCTGTCATGTGCTGTCCGCCTCTGGCGCTTCCCTTCTCCTCCTCTTCCGCCCTGTGCCCCGACTGCCTCCTTCGTGGTCTTTGTGCTCTTTTGCCTGCAAACCACGGTAGGCACAGCTTGTATGGAGCTCCACCCTGGGGTCGAGCCTTCCTGGAATGCCTCCGTCGCCTCCCACTGTCCTTGGCCGCAGATGGCGACAGACAGAGAATTTAGACAGAAAAGGGAGAGGGAGGGGGAGAGAGTGAAAATGAGAGTCACAATCAGAGAGAGAGAGAGAGAAGAAACAAAGAAGCGAGAGAGAGGGAGGGGAGAGGGAAGGGGAGGAGGAGAGCCAAGGCCCGATCGCTCGAAGAAGACCTGGATGGCCTCGGTCAGAGCTTTGGCCAAGAAGGGGCAGCTGCCAAAGATGAGGGTCGGGGCACGGCTCGACATATCTCGCCGTGCCCGCGCGAAGCCGAGGGCACAACTCTGGCGCGCGTGGTGCTTGATGGAAACCCCAGGGCCTCAAGGAACGTGCCAGCCTCCAGCCCTCCGCTGTTGGCCAGCATTCACTTCTCTTGATGTAAGCCCCCGGCCACCACGCGTGCGGCGCGGGACCCCAAGGATGGGGCATGGGTGCTGCAAGGTGTCGGAGACCAGGGTGGGCGGGGTGTGGGGCAGGGTGTGGAGCCGGGTGTGGGGCCGGGTGTGGGGCAAGGTGCGGGGGAAGGTGTGGAGCATGTGGGGAGTGTGGAGGTGGAGTTGGACTGGGGGCGGGCGGGGCAGGGGCATGGACAGGCGTGGGAGCAGCGGAGGCAGGCGCGGGGGATGTAGCTGTCTCCACCTGTGACACATGCTCAGTGGTTTCTCATTGCTGCGATGCATGAGAGATTGTTGGCCTCTTGGCTATCGTCGATGTAGCCTCGGATGCAAAGGAACAAGAAACATCACATCGCACCACACAGTTCGATTCACAGCAATAGCAAGAAAACACTGCATATTGTAAAGCACTTGTGCTTTGACTTGTGCCGGCGCCTGCTGGCTCGGCCGTGAAGACGCGGTGGTCGACCTAACGTCTGCTGAACACGTCAACTCAACATGTTAGCCTGAAGTCCTGATACAGTACCCATCAGCATACAGGTAGTATTGCGGTTCAGAAGCCACCTGGCTCGCAATATGATGAGTCTACCCGCTCCATGAAGCAATGCGTTCAGATTGGGGCTTCAAAGAAGGTGAATGCGGCTGGCAAACTGAAGGTCTGCAAAGGCTATTGCTTGGCCCATCGCTGCTTTCATAAGGGGGTCTTTCTCCTCTACGTATTCCCATCAGGGTAGAAAGGGCATCCTCTTTTTTTAATTCGATTCATGGGTTGCTTTACGTTAACATTTCGACCCAATCGCAAGCCATATGCAGAATGCGGTGGACACCGTCCTCTGCATTCATCGCATTCAAGGGTGTCTCTAAGAGCTAGGAGTGTTGGGCCTAGTTGCGCTCATTCAGAACCATTCGGATGTTTGATTGAGGTTGCCACGAGCTCGCAGACCTGGCGACCAACGGCGTTCGGCAGCTCCTGGTCATAGAACTCTAGAATCTTGAACACAAAGGACGGGCCCCAACAATCTACGAGGCCTGGCCATCTCTGGAGACCTTGACCTCAGACACCGGGGGAACGAAGGGGGGGGGGGGGGGGGGGCGGGGGTTGCATGTGCCGTGTATGAACAGAGCGTTTGAACGATGAAGAAAAGCGAAAGGAAAAAGAGACGAGAAGAAGAGAGCTGTGAGGTTTTGTTTTGGGGCGCCCCGGCTGAGCGGTTCTCGTTCCAAGGGTTCAGGATATCCGTGACCTCAACAAGGCCAACATCATCTTTCCCTTGTTCTGCCCTCGTCTACCTCTATTCTGCCTCGGAGAAGTCCAAGTCGTCCAAACGCAGCCATCGCACCTCGTGCTCGGGGCAAGGGCAGCAACATGCATGCCTCTGGTGTGTGGACGTCGTCTCGCCTCGAAGCTGCGCCCGAAGCCCTCGAAGACGTGGGTGGATACCTGGCCCACCTGGGAGAGAATAGGCCCGGGAGCCAAACAGAATGGGCCGGAAACAAAAACAGACAGACATTCGAATGGTCAACTTCCCCTTCATTGGAGTGGCAGGGCCCAGCATCTTGGCGTAGCCCTGCAGATCACAGGCTCTTCCGCGAAGCAACGTAAACAATGGATAGATCGAGGCGCACGCCTGGAAGCAGCCGGAACCTTTCAGCATCTTTCAACAGGCAAGGAAACATGAACACACAAAACCGGCCAGACCAGAGCAGGCCCGACCAGATGTAAGTTGTTGAATTACGAGGATGTATAGGATCTTCATCTGCTAGAGAGCTTGCCACCTCAAAATGCGTGCTTCTGCCTCTTGGTCTAGAGGACAAGAGGCCACTGCAGCAACATCCGGCGTTTCATGGCGCAACGTACAAAATCGTCAGGTCTCAGGCCGTGTTGGCCTCTTGCGGACGTCGAGAAAGTTCACATGTTTCGGGCAACCATGCTCTTTCCACTCGCTGCCTGCATTGCTGCAGGCTTCGTGGCTGTTGTTGATTGAGCAAGCCCAGCCGAGAGAGTGAGGTTACGGCTTACTTACGCAAGGTATGCTTCGCGGTACAAGTACTTTCGTGTGCCCAACGCTCCGGCCTTTCTTAAATCCGTGGCCCTGCTTGAAACGAACCAACGCGCAGGGCCCAGGTGAGTGTGGGGGGGGGGGGGGGGCTGCGCTCTGGGACTCATGGTCGCTTCGTGTGCCTCAAAGATTTGCAAAGTCCCAGGTAGAGTGCTGAGTTCTTTCTTGCCAAAATAAACAAACGCATACTGCTGCCCGTTGTGGCCAGGGCTCGCACCGTTGACAGAGAAGAGGAGGATCACGTGGGGCGCGGTTCGGAAGGCCTCGTTCAGCTTCTCTTGGTTCTGCCGCGACGGGGTGGCCCACACCTTCTCAAAGATTAAATAAAGGTAAGGGAGGTGTGGAATGCCGAAAATGTCAGGAGAGGAGAGGGGAAGGCTAGAAGATGCAAAGGATTTCGCTCGAAGCGAGAACCTCGCTAACGAAGGCGCCTTGTGCTCGATGGAGAGGACCTTAAAGGGGCAGTGAGACGAACGCCGCACGTCCCCGTATCAACCTCCTTTCTGAATGGAAGTCTGGTTTTTGTGCCCCGTGCAAGGTTCTTGTGGCTGCTGCTCTTGATGACGAAATACCTGAGGAAGGCCACCCATGCCCCGTCTGACTTTTTCAACTTCAATCCGGTCACTTTGCCCCTCTGCACGAGTCGTTCGAACCAGGCGGGGCCTTGTTCCCGGATTGCTATGGATCTTGGAAGGCGGCCGCGAACCTGCAGTAAAGGCAACAGAAACCGACACAGCATACTCACAATGTCACAGATCTTCGCTGCAGCAGGCGCAACACGATACTACTGCGCTTCATTATCAGGGCAAGAAAGGAAATAACAACCAGACCAAAAAAAGCCGGCCTGTGAATGCTGTTTTGCTTGGTGCTGGCGGCGAGTTGCCGGCCCCGGCCGCACTGGCCACAGGGGTTCCGCTTGGTTCTTCTCGCCCGTCATCATCCCATTCGGCCTCCGCGTGCTTGGCCTCACAGACAAGAGAGAAACATCACCTGAAACTAGAGACGTGCCAAGCGTTGACGCAGCATACCCGAACTTGTCGGCCCACAAGCGCTCAGCGCCGAGCAGCGAAGCTCAGGTCCTTGGGAACCAAAGGGCTGTCAGCTGTGACATGGTGATGCAGGTCTGCATGGGGCCAGAATGAAGCCAAACCACCATGGGCGCAGGAGGGTTGCCCCATCATGGACCGCCCGGGCAGGAATTGCCCCTTGCCCACGCTGGGAGCTCAGAGACACGAACGAGTCTTGCCGAGCGGGCTTGGATTCAAAGGGACGGCCGAAATGATGTGCTGGGTCCCTTGTGTTTTTTTTTCGATCTGCGTTTGCAGTGCCGAGGTCTTCGAGATCGTGGGGTACCATACCTCACCCCACTTCTCTTTCGGACCCCTTCTACAAGAAGCTCCGAGGCTTCGGTGTGCTGGGCATCGGAACAAAGTGCCTACATGCGGGACCCACTTGAACACTCAGGCATCGCGCGTGTTGCGCTACATCGATACACAAGATCCTAACTGATGCCCTAAGCATCCCTAAACGGCCCTGCCCAGGGGCGTCTCGGACATGGGTTCAAACTTCCTGAACTCTTCCGGGAGCACATCTGACTCATCTGACTACCTTGAACTTGAGCAGCGGCTGCCATGCGCGGGGCTACCACTGTCTAGTAAGCGCCTGCAAGTGCTGAGAGTCCAACGGACTCCTGTGCACCCTAGTAGCACCCTAGTAGGCCCTAGTGACCCCATGAGTAGTGTCTCTCGGGCGCAGCTTGCGCCTGGCAGCACGAGACCCATTGGCGAATTCGCGTCGGTTTCTTTAAAATTGCCGCCGTCAGTGCCAGCACTCGGCCCTAGAATGCGAGCGCGTAGCCTTGCAAGGACGTGCTTGAAGCCCTTCTCTGCATCCCTTGGAAACGGCAATTCGATCACTAGCAGTGGCACCTGGCCTATGGCTAAGCGCGCCGAGCCAAGCCTGGCAATTCCAAAGCGAGGTGTTTTCAGAATCGGACCTCCTCCTGTCTGTGCTTGTCGCGCCTGGTCTTAGCTGGTCTTGTCCTTGGCTCCCCAGCGGCCCTTCGGCGACGGCTGTGGAACCTGTCATCAACCCAGCAACTGGCGACAGGCCTCCCTTCATCGCAACCAACCCACTGATGACCTCAATGTCCTGAAGGCACAGAGGGCAGACCTCGCATGTTCACGTCGCATGCCACATTGTACCCTTCGCCGTTCGCATCCAACGTGTGGAGCTAGGGCTCTGGCTTTGTTTCTTTTCAGCCACTTGTCAATGCAGCCCCTGTTGCAAGGCAAGACGTCTGCGATCACATCACGATCATCACAGGCAAGATCTTGCAGTTCGAGGCCAAACTGCGGCCCAGGCCTGTGAAAGCTGTGGCCACAAGGCAATCGTCGCAGCACAGCGTCTCTGTCAAAATCACTTAAACACCTGAGCACTCAAAGAGGCAAGAGTGCTTGGGTTGTGTGCAGGTTCGTCACAGGGTCCGATTCTACAAAAGAAGAAGATGCAGTGAAGAAATTTCTGAGAGACGAGGGTAGTGACAGTGAGGAAGTCAGTACACCGCTCATGCTGGACGTAACTTCCCTGTCACGGAATTTTTGCTGCCTTGCCTTGGTACGTTTCCTAACCTTGCAGCCGCTGTATGGAAAAAGACCCCATTGAGAACATGAAATTCACGTGGTCACCTTGTTCCTTATATTCTCATCTTATTAGTTGGGGTTTTTGAGCGGCTTAGAGGCCAGTCCAACCGCAGCACCCATCTCACCTCGAGACCCTGTTATCGCCTGGTCTGGATGCACGATATTCAGATACTGCACCAAAATTGACTCACGGAGTCAAAGCCTGTATATTTATTGAAACCAACAATGGTGACATTACGTTATCCTCGAGTGTGTGATGCAGACAATAAACTAGAGGAGGTTGGAACACCCTTCAAAAGCCGAATTGTTGCTGCGAAATGCAAGGCCAAAAACTTGTGTCTTGCAGAACCCAATTTTTTCGAACAACTAGAAATGATTGGCGCCAAAACCCACAGATGATCGTCGATTCAAGTTTCTTCTCTACTTCTTTTATGGCTTTGCGAAATGAACGAAACATCGCAAGCAAAACGTAGCGACTCCAAGAGCCAACACCAAAGGAAGGGGATAGAAAGGAGAGGCTCATGATGGCTCATGCAAATCCAGACACGAAGATGTCTATGTAGTATTATGTAGTCATCATTGCAAGTCATAATGTTTTACGACTCCTTCTGGGCCGCGTGCACGGCGCAGCTTGTCTCCGGGCCTTCGCCACGCACTTCAGGCGAGTACCTTGGCTGAATAAGTAATGAAGATGAAAGGCGCTTGAGGCCCAATTCGTTAAGCTACCCGTTCCGGGTGCTGAGCGGGCAATGAAGGCTTCACGTCTCAAGAGAGCTGTCCAGGAATCGCAAGTGGAAGGACAGGGCCAAAACATTAAAAGAGATTGTTGGGGGAGGTTGTGGGCGCACGACTTTCTTGGAGAGTCTGGCTAAGTCCCCAAGAAGTGCGCCAAGACTATTTCGAGGCATCGGAGTTTCCCAAGACAGAGTGTCAGTCGGATCAGTCATTGACATTCTCACCTCATCGGACAGTACCACAGCAATCTATACAATTGGTTTCTGAGGTGCACCCCTCAATGCACACACCTTTCAACACTTCGTTGAACCTTCAAGTTGCGTTTTCCTTCACTGCTTGTGGGCTTCCTACGTTGTTCCAACACTACGAAGTAGGAAGGGCTAAAGGTTGCTGTCCGCGCTCGGCGCGGGCTCGCGCCAACCACTCAGGGTCGCGAAAACCGTGGCAGGAGCATGCAGGGGACACTTGTGTTCAGGTCCCGGAGTGCCAGGGGTTGCAGAAGAGCTTAAGCTTAACAGGAATTGGGGCTTCACCGGCGTCGGTGCGGCCGAGGAGAAGGTGCTTCCGAAGCAACACTTCAACTTCCTTCAGTGCAGCACACAGCTGCAACCCATCCATGCATGCATTATGTGAATATATTACTGGGTAGATAGACATGGCTATGCAGAAAAAAAGGGGCATGTAGCATATCCCGTCCACCCCCACTCTGTTACGTACGTACGTCGTGCCCCCTTTTTTCATGCGCATGATGCGGTCTCGCCGCTGGAGACCTCCTTTTAAGGTATGGCTTGTCGCGGAAGGGTGTTGGCGCAAGGACCACAGGTTTGCTTTGTTCCAAATTTCAAAGCCCATGTCGCAAAAAGGCGCCACTGCTAGATATCCTGTAGGGTGCGGCTCAGAGCGGGCGGATTTTGCGCCGTGCATGCAGGGCTCACATGTTCGACACGACGCTCGGAACATTGACGCTTTATTTCTAAGTTTCGGAGGTTGCCAAGAGCTCCCAGGCAAAAGCTCGGCGTTGGGCAGCAGTCCGTTTAAGGAAGTGATTTGGCAGATTGCTGGGATATGCTGGAATCGGCAGATTTTGTTTGACCTGCGCGTGCGAGGTTTGTGACATCCTGTGTGCGGGGGCCCCGGCACAATCAATGGCATGGAGTCGATGAGCTCTTGGTTGGCACCTCAGGTCGAAAACATGAAAAACAAAAACTGCATATATATATATATATGTATAGATGTCTATATATTCTTTTTAAGACAAGAACATTTGATTATTTAGCAGAAGCAGCAACCTGGGTTGAAGGGTCCCAGCCTCGCGGTTTTGGGGGCGGCTGCTGGCCCTGGAACCGTGGAGGAAAGGAGTGGTAGAAGACGATGAGGGTCATCAGAAGCCTCTTGGTGAACAGGCGAGAAAGAGGACTCGGCCAGAAAGTGGCGCGCTCTGTGGTGGCACATGTGGCTAAAATATCACTGTGCTTGGCATGCCCTGGCTGCCCTCGCCGCCTCGCCACTGCAGCGAAGATCACGGCCAGGGACAGCCTCGGGACCGTATATTATACTAAAAGGCATGAGTGCAAGAACATGCAAACCCGCGCAAGGCCCGAAGCTACAATCGAGCACAACTGAGTGGATTACAAATTGGCCCAACCAGGTAACCAGCACTTCAACCCCACAGCACTGACTGACACTGTCATCCTGCAAGCAGCTGCGTTGCTGGCCTGTACAGCCCCGGGCATGGCTTGCAGTAGGTGGAATTCAGCAGCCAGACCTTGACATTCGGCATCATTCGGCCCATTTGGCAGGGCTGCTTTGCAAGTGTCTGCGGCTCTCTGTGCCCGAGTGCACGGCCACGCCAAGGATAAACCAACCGTAAGTAATGATGGAGACCACCTGCATTCGACAGAACATGCCCGCATCGCGTCAACAACATTGACAAGTTCCAGTTATGTTGTCACATTCCGCCCTGGTGCTGAATTCCGCGGTTTGCAACTCGTCCGTATCTAGACCTCGGACTGTCTAGGAGAAAGCTTTTGGAAGCTCCCGGCTTCTCTTGAGAACAAGGCTTGGGCTTTTTAACCTGACAATTCTGCCCAGCCCCAAAGACTCAAACATGGATGTGCCAACAGGGCGGTTTTGTTCCAGGGCAAAACACTTGACTCAGTGGAGGCTTCGCGTCTTAAAGCCGCCTTGCTAGTCCTCCATGCCGCGCTGTGGGTCAGGTGGCGCACGCACTCCTCTCCAGAAGCCGCAGATGGAGAAAATCAATTGCACATACGAAGGGCTGGAAGAATGAACTATTATGAGAGCCTTCGCCTAACTTTGTTGTTGTTCTTCTGCCGGCCAAAATTTCAAGGGAGCAGGGGACAAGCACCTTACCCATGTAATGTGAGCATGCCTTTGTAAGTTTTGCTAGTGATGGCCCTCAAACCGTGTTTGTGGCTTACTCCCTCCCTTTGCCAGCCCTTTGTGCATCCTGGATGTTGCCGTTGAGGCGCTGGATGTGGCACAGGCGCAAGAAGAAGACGAGCCGCACCGGTGCCTGTCAATGCGCAAGGCACGGTGGCATTTAGCCTCAGTATAAACAGCCAACGTAGTTCGTTAAATTTTGTAAACATTCATTAAAGATGAATTAAAACTCATTAAAATTGGTCAAGACTAATTAAAGTGGAATTAAGAAAATGAAACTTTAAAAATATTTCAAATTACTTCAAAGCAATCAAAACTAATTTAACAACAATAATGACAAATAATGAAGACCAGTCAAATGAATTGCAAACAAATGAGAAAAATATTGATTCAACTTCAGTAAAACTAATCGAAAGAAATCGAATTTAGGCACAAATATTCAAATACATTTAAGAACCTAAATACTTAAATCAGTTTCTACAACAATACTACTATCATATATATATATACATATATACATATATATATATTACATAAACATACGAAGGCACTATTTAAGAATATAGAACATGTACTACTATCTTGCATCCCGGGAGCCCGGCACTTTCGTGGTTTTCCTACCTTGTGTCTGCCTGTCTGAAGCTTTAAGGCGCCCTCAAGGCACTTCTCTTGGCATCCGGGGGCTTCGCGCGAAACCCAGCACCATCTTATGATGATGATATACGAATCTCGCAATATGAGGCTATAAAGATGTAGTATTATACTGCACATAACAAGAATATCATACTGGTTTAACAGTGGTCGGCACGCAGCCGTCAGCAATTTGCGAACACGGCTCAACAGAAAAGATGCAGAGCGTCCTTGCCAGTTTCTGGGGGCACTGCAAACAAGGGCACAGCAATCAGCAAAGTAACGGGTTGATGTACCCCGTTTTTTTGGAGTTCTGCGCTCATGGTTTTCATGCTTCGGCACCCCTGCGCATGATCTTCGCTCACGTGCGACCCACCACGTTGTCTGTACCCTGGCCACTCTACATCCTTAAGCTTCCACAAGCTTCGACCTGACGCAAAAAGACCCTTCAAGATGGGCGAGGCAGCCCGCATGGTGTTTTCATCTTTCTGCTTCAAGAGCCAAAAACCAAAGGCAGATTACCCTCGGCACCGGCGACACCTGATGTGAGGGGCCATGCCCGACGGGACACTGGGCAAACACCTGGACCGGGACAATGTCCGCCTTCATGGTACGACCCCAACATACCGGAACACCGACCACACGCGTTCCCCGACCACCCAGAGCGTCAATGAGAGCCAAGCAGTTCGTTATGTTGGGGAGAAAGCTACCCGAGCGCTGCAGATCGCTGCCGTGCCACAGCGCAACGAAGCGGCTCGACCCCAACTCAAAAATCTATACCGATATGCCGACCAAACACCCTGCGCTGCCCGCGCAGCTGCCTCATTAATTATTGCGACGCTGGCTGCCCAAATCATGTGTTCTGTTTCATCGACCGCCTATCTGAAAAAAGTGAAGAACCCAAGCTGATCGTCGCTGCGGGCAACTTATGATGTGGAAGTCTTGACTCTTCCAGCCTGAAGGAGCTGCAGGACGCAATGCACCAGGATCCAATACCTGGTCGAAAGTCTAAGTACTCCACGAACAGGACCCCAAGCAACCGCGCAGAACCTGAACACGCAGACCGAATCGTCCGCCTTAAGGGCCGGTTGCACAGGCCGCAAGGCGCCCAGTACCTTTCCGGCACGATGTGGTTGCCGGCATTCTCATGGCTCCTCACCCTTTATCTCTCGCAATCTGGGCCGCGCGCAGGGTGAGAAAAAGCCCGCAAGGGATGGAGATGATCACGCCGGAGATGCTGCCGAAGAACATCACCACCTTCAGGGCTTTGAGGGGAATATGAATGATAGAGAGAGAGAGAGAGTCAAGAGAGAAACAAAAGAGAGAGACGAAAAGAGAGAGAGAAGAGAGAGAGAGAGAGAGACCTGTCGACTCTCGATACCGTGCTCTCGCACTATAGGCACGTGCCTTGATGAACCACGCGGCCTCTTCTGGGTACTGGTGCACGACGTCCAGGAGAGGGTCTGGGTTCTCGGCCGCGTTTTCGGCGCCTGATCGCGGGGGAAGAACGGAGAATTAACGACAAAAAACAAGCTGGGCCCCGGCCATCGAAGAAGCTCAGAAGCCGATCCCGGACCTAAGAGCAAAGAGCAAAGTGCGGGATCCCCCAACGCTACGGGGCTTGACCTTTTTCTTGTGGATGCTTTGGAATCGAGGCAGCGGCGGCCGCCAAGCTGAAAGCTAACGCCATATTTTCGTGGACTCGCGGTTGCCTCGCTTGCACAGGCGGTCCGTTACTGCAGAAGGCGATCTGAGTGAAGAACTCCCAGGCCTTGTCCTCGATGTTCAGGGCGCTAGCTCGTGTACATTGACGGCACTGTTGGCAAAAGTAGTTTGAAAGGGATTGAGACATGCTGAGACTCGTTGAGAAGCTGGGTGCAAAATATGGCGCCGAAGGGTCCAGGCACCTTCTGGCGGTCCTACCAGAATTCCCCGAAAGTTGTTCCTAAAGCCCCAGAAAGCCTTGAGCCAAGTCAGGGCTGCCGGCGAACTCTGGGCCTAATGGATCTTTACACTCTAAGCTTGTTGGCTTGTTGACAGGTGAGCAACTGCAGCGCACCACATTGGCATGTCTGTTGGTCTTGAACAAACTAACTGCTGGTAACCTGATGGGGGGGCCCGCCCTCACCGCAACTACTCCTGCCAGGATGCCATTTTCGAGCAGTCTTCACTGCAGGGCATTGGAAAACCAGATGTGTTGCATTCTGGCCATGTCAATGCAGAATTGCGCCAGCATAGGATGTAGATGGATTTACAGGGGCCCCAAAAAGGATGCGAAAGAGGAGCAAGTCTCTGAAAGCCAGCTCCTATATCTCTTTTTTCTTGAACGCGCCTGACGGAGAGATGGCTTCCAACCCCAGCTCAGACTTCGCCCTCCAAATCCTTGCAAGCATGGTCCACTTATCGTTGTGTCACGCTACTGCCGCTAGTGTCACTGCAAATTTTGACCTACAGAGTCTGTCAAGTCACACAGGCAATCCAAGTCTTGACAAGTTCAGAATGCATTGGTCGTCCGTGTGTTTCATCATGGGGACTGATCGACATACAACCTTATTTGCTGTATCATGCTCTATCACCGTATGTCTCTCGCTTCAGCTACCGGTGCCTCGGCTGGAAACGGGGACGAGCGAGCACCCCGCACACCCAGGCCAGGGCCACCCGGGCTGCTCTGGACGGCACCGCCCGAGTCACCGCACCTCCAGAAGTGAGACTTTGCACGAACTGGGAGTCCCGACTGGGAGCATAAATTTGACACGAAGAGGTGCGAGGCAAGGAAGGAAGTGAACAGAGAAGGAAGGAAGAGAGATTTTCGAAAGGAAGAGAAGAAAAAAGAACGAAAGTAACACGAAGTGTATAACTGATTCAAGACAGATAGGTGCTGAGCCCATCGCTGGGAGCCCTCGCGACCTGGACCGGCAGCAGCACTTGTTGCACTTGCTACTGCCTGTGCTTTGAATGCCGCCTTTGTCGGGGGAGGTGCATTTGCAGCCTTTGGGGGCTGCGGGGTTACCGGCCGTGTGGTCGCGGCTGGCGGCGAAACGCGAGCCGAGGCTGTCTGCGTAGTCGGTGATGTTCGTGGTGGGGTGGGCGGCGGGGTGGGTGACACGCGTGCGGCGGGTGCAGTGGGTACGGTGGGTGCTGTGGGCGCGGCAGTGGGTGGGGTGGCTGCAGTGGGTGGTGAAACTTTGGGAGCGGGGCATGGAGCAGCTGCCGCAGCGTTCGAGGCTGTGGCCGCGACAGGTGGCCGTGCCTGCAGGCCAGGCTTCGGGCTGGGGGTTTGCTGGGCACGAGGTTGGAGCGCTGGGGACTTGGCAACACCACCAGCCGCCGGAACTCGGCTGGGCGGGATTGTGGGGTCAGCTGGGCATGGCGAAGGCACTGCAGGCGCAGGCACTGCAGGCACTGCAGGCACTGCAGGCACTGCAGGCACGGAGGGACGAGGGGATGAAGTAGATGCCCCTTGCCGTGCACAGAGATGGTCGAGCTTGGCTGTCAACACTTGCTCCAGTCGATCCAGGCGCCCTTCGATACGAGCTAGAGATTCAGACTCCGCCTCTGACTTGCCTTGGAATTTGTCGTCCTTCACCTCCCTCTTGGTTTCCTTTGGTGGGTACAAGCCATACATTGATGGAATGCTGTCGGTGTCCTTTGGCATTTTTGGAAGAGTCGGCGCGGGCACGCCTTGCGCGAATGCCAGGGGCGGAGAGGCATGAGAGGCCTGCTTGGGTCTTCTTGCAAAGCTCTTGCATTGTGAGAGAAGCCATAGAAGACATCGGAGGATCTTTATGGCAACAAGAGCCATGAACAGAAGGATGCCAGAGGCGACTGCCAATGAGCCTGGATAAGCGGCTCCGAAAGTTGACAAAGCAGCGGCTTGCAGGTAGGGGGCGGCAACAGATGAAACATTCTCAGTTGCTGCCTTTTTGGCAACCCTCGAATACTCACGCACTTGCACCGTGACCCAGCTCCACCGTTGCCGCACTAGTGCTGCCAAGTCTGACGCGACGCTGTAGAGCCGCAGAGCTATCTCTTGCAGATTCGATTGCTGATCATTGCCTTGCGCATGTTGCACATCTTCGGCTTTCTTGGCCAGCTCTGCTTCAAGCTGAGCGACCCTGGCTGCATTGTTGCCATCTGCTGCAGCCTTCAGCTTCTCCTCCAGCGCTTGCACTCGGGCCGCATCAGCTGCATTGGCCTCTGCTTGACCCTGTGCCTTGCTCAATGCTTCTTCCACTTCCTTTGTCTTCTTGGCCAGCTCTGCTTCAAGCTCAGCCACTTTGGCGGTGCTGCCGACACCTTCCGTTGACTTTAGCTTCTCCTCCAGTACTTGTACCCGGGCAGCGTTGGCTGCATTGGCCTCCGCTTCACCCCGTGCTTTGCTTTGCGCCTCTTCAACTTCCCTGACCTTCTTGGCCAGCTCTGCTTCAAGCTGAGCCACCTTATCTGCACTACCGTCACCTGCTGCAGCCTTCAGCTTCTCCTCCAGCGCTTGCACTCGGGCCGCATCAGCTGCATTGGCCTCTGCTTGACCCTGTGCCTTGCTCAATGCTTCTTCCACTTCCTTTGTCTTCTTGGCCAGCTCTGCTTCAAGCTCAGCCACTTTGGCGGTGCTGCTGCCACCTTCCGTTGACTTTAGCT